TGCTGCCTGGGATCTTAGTACAGCGTGCAAAAAATAAACGGACTACCTAGAATAACTTTTGATCTAATGATCTAAGTCAGATATTTAAATTTCGATTTCTCAGGAACTATTCGAACGATTTCGCTCAAACTTTCTATTTTGCCATGTACAAATAAATTCTATAAATTAATCTAAAAAATAATTAATTATAATTCAAAAATTATAATTGATAACAAAAATTATAAATATAATTAGAATAAATTACAATTATAATTAAAAATAATACTAAAATTAATATAAAAATTATAATTAATTATATTTGAAAATTTTTCGACTATTAATTAAATAAAATAATGAATATTTACTAAAAGTTATTTTTGCGTGGAATTACTTTTGGATAAATGAATCTCATTTCGGGAGTCAGTTATCAGAATCCGTCGAAAAAAAAAGAATGTTTATTCAGAGAAAGCACGCTTTTGTGTCTGATTTCGTAACTTTTAAATATCGTCTGCATTAATTATTTAACATATTTGAGATCACTCCTTTAAGCCATATAAGATTGAGTCCTAGAACGTGAAGATACGGTCATTAGATAAAAAATTATTCAGGGTAATACTTTTTTTTCTGAGCACTGTTTATATTGTAATGGTTTAAAAACAATGTACTGACCCATTCGGATTAATCTAAATTATGTCACAAATATTTTTCTAAAATAGATTTGTAAATACTTAATTGAGTTTACGTAAATTTTAAAGCAGTGAAATAATGGTATGACAACTTGGGGACTCATCGGCAAGTGAAGGGAACAGGAATCATCATAAAGGGAAATTATTTAAATTAAAATTTGATGAATTGATTATGAGGTAAAATGGAGTAATTTATTTTTGTTTACTATTTAAGAAGATAAGTTATAAAGCTCTATCAACATTAAATTGAAAGATTTGATGAGCTTAAGCTTATTAGAAAATTAAAAAAAAAAAAAAAAATCTTTCATACACAACAATAGGGTTACCATATTATATAATAGGCTATGCCTTATGTAAATTGGGAGACAGAAAATGGTTGCTGCCTTAGCTTTTTAACTGACTTGAATGAATTTTTTTTTCTTTATCTTTAATAACTCAAGTAAAAGTGCATTGCAAATAAAGGTTGAACTATCTGTTTAGTGACGAAATTATTAGATTAGTTCTTTTGAAATCTTATTTGTACAAACAAGATTTAAGTGGGCAGATAAAACGAATTTTTTAATGTATAACTACATAAAAAAAATTTCTTGATTATTTAGAGTATGTAATGCTTAATTTTTTTTTTGTCATATTTAATACTTCCTACTTGAACGATCAAACATTGCCTCAAACGGAAACGCCATTTATTTAAGTAACAAAGTATACACATTTTACTGTTTATCGTTTGGCATATATTTTTTAATTAGTGTTCATTCTCAAACGGAAACATTTCCGTTAAAAATGAAAATTTCTTAAAAATTCCCTTAAAAAAGAATAAATCTTTTAAAGAAAAAAAAAATACATGGTTAAAGGTGGAAAAAAAGTCCTCTCAATTTATACACAGAAGTGTAATATATTTCAGTAATAAATTGCGAATGGTATGTTACACACAGAATAAAATTCGAAATGATGAGAATTTAAAGCATTTTAAACTTATACCTTTGCAGGTGTGATTGTGAGCTCAACTCAAAAATCCTGAAAATTTTCTTGGGTGAAATCATTAAGGACACATTTCAAAAAATTAATGTCTTTAAAAATTTAAATCATTGATATTTTCAAAACACGAAATTCTAAATAAATCATATGCAGAAGAATTTAAATGAATAATTATTTATAAGTTTGCTTTTATCTCTAATCACATTTATTATTTTACCAGAAAAAAATATTTAAAAATGAAAGAGATGCTAAGTATGAATTCCAGTTCTAATATTTTTAAATAAAATATACAAGAATTTTCATACATAAATGGGACCGATGATTTCTTGAAACTTCTGGACCTCGTATTTCTGGAAACTTCCGGATCGCGGTTAGTGAAAAATCCGGAAATTCAGATTTTTTTCCGGAGCACAATCATCTCTGTACCTTTGAAATTGAAAAAAAAAATATATATAAATAAACTATTTTACACTAATTTCTGCCTGTGACGTTAAGAAATTTTTCTTAGGGTTAAACCGACGACAAAATTATTCTAATCCGTGATCTATCTATTATAGTGTTATTTAAAAGCATGACAGTGGTCAATGTCGGAACGAAAAAATTAGGAGAATATGATCATATAAATTTATCCATAAAATAATAAGAATTATTCGGCATTGCAAAAATGACTAATTAATCATTAAATGTTATATTTAATTTTAGCTTTTAGAAAAATGTAAAATAAAACCGGAATAGAAGAAAAAATTTTACACACTTAAAGCAATGAATTATTCTCCACATCATTCATTTATCTATTTTATATAAAAATTTGCTTATTTTTAACGTTAGTAATTTAGAAAGCAAAAATATATCAATGTTTTTTCGACGACGAGATTCACAATAAAAGGGGAAAAAAAAAGTTTTAGCGAAACATTTTCCATGATCTTTTCTTACAATTTGAAATATTAAATATTACATAAAGGCTCTTATTCTTTAACAATATTAAAAAAATAAATGAACAAATAAAAAATAAACAAAGAAAAAAAAAACACGTAGAACGGAAGCGACGCACACTAATTTGTTTCCAGAAAACGCATCTCGAATTCACAATTATTTTCCCTCATTACTGCATTATTTAAATGAAATATCAAGAGTAGAAAAAAAAAGTAGAACTTGAACAATTATAAAAAAAGAGATTTTATTTCCAAGAAAGAAAGTAAATTGACGGCAGAAATCGTTTTTAAAAAATAATGTTTTTATTACAGCACTTCACCCTGCTTTACTTAGTATACTAACCATAGTATACTAAATCCAACTCCTTTAGGATAGATGCTTTATTAGAAACGTAAACTGCAGTTACTTTATTACCACAAAGAACTTTCTTGCAATTCCTTTACCATAAAAACTTTCGCCAGTGCGTCTTTCAATCGTCAGCAAATCGTTTTTCTCAAGAACTAACATAGGGGCTTATATGTGTATGTATCCTTCCTTCCTTCCTCAATGGCACGACAGACCCGGGTGGGCCCTGGCCTTCTCAATCAACTTCTTCCAGGCCTGCCAGTTATCTTCCAGTTTGAGACTTTTAAGACTGAAAAGTCTCTTTCCACGCAGTCTTCTTCCCATCTCAGCTTTGGTCGACCTCTGGGCCTTGATCCGATGGGCTGAGCAGAAAAAATTATGTTTGTCGAACGCTCTCTGTTCATTCGAATGATGTGACCAGCCCATTTCATTCTTGTATGTATATATATATATATAATCACAATAATAAAAGAAAAGAGAGATCAATGAAGAAAATTGAGAAAAATATTAAGTTTTATTTGCTGCGCATAAGCTGTGAGTACATAGATACCATAAAACAAGTTTAAAAAAAAGAGACGGAAAAAATATATATAAATCTTTTAAAGAGAAGAAGAAAAATTACTAATGAATAAAAATGAATTATACAAACTCGCATGTCGAAAAGTGAAAATAATGAATAAAGACAATTATTAATGAATACTTAAAAAAAAAATTTTAAATTAAAAAGTGGAAAACAAAATAAGGAAATTATATAAACTCGCATCAGCTCACACAACTATATTCTCAAAAAAGAGTGCCTTCCAATATTGTAATAATATAGCCAAAGCAAAATATATCAATACAATAGTGTGGGGAGCACCAAAAAAATTGAAACGATAATTGTGTCTCATTCTGTATTTTTTGCTTAATAAGTTCGATTTTCGTTTCAATTTTTTTTGGTGTATCTTACTCTATTGTATTGATATATTTTGCTTCGGCTATATCAATACAATACTATTAGAAAGCACTCTTTTTCAACGAATATAATTGTGTGAGCTGAAGATTAGGTTATATCTTTTCCTTATTTTGTTTTCAAACTTTTAAATTTTTTAAAATTTTCAAAATTTTACTTAAAAATAATAATAAACATTAATATTTTAATAATAATAAACATAAAAATAAAATTATAATAAGCATTAATAATAAAATAATAACAAACATTAATAAAAAAAACATTAATATTTTTTTTCTTATCTTCAAAAATTTATATATTTTTATATATTTAAATATTTTAATTTTCTATATATACATATTCAGTGGTATAGCCTTCTCTAGAAAGGACCTCAGAAATACTGGATCTTTTATAGTGCTGCCATCTACTTTTGATGATTTATACTGTTTTTTAAATCAAAGAAATACCAATTTACCCATCTTGAATTAATAGTTGGTTTAATTTAGAAGATAGAAGTTAAAAATTGCATCAAAGTAATAAAAATATATTAAATGTTTACACGATGAAATTAATGAGGGTTTATTATAAATTTTTTTTATTATGAAATTTTTTATAAATGTTTTTTTTTAAATTTTTTATTTATTGTCTGAGGTATAGAAAAAAATTTAAAATACAAAGTGGGCAAATCACCACATCAATGCACTTTTTGATGAAAAATAAAACTCTATATTTTAAACCGAAATGTTGTGAAAATGAACAAAAACAAGCTAGTTTTGTATTACATGAAAGAATACAAAAGAGTAGAATATATGTCCAAAATTTTTCATTATAATTCAATTTTTTTTTGTTCCTGTATAAATATATATATTAAGGGAAAAAAATTACTTTTGAATGATAAATGCACAATTATCTGAATGATAAATTATCTGCTTTAAAGATAATAACACTTAATTCAAGAACATTCATTTCACAGAGTTTGCCTCCATTTGTAGAATAATTAAAACTACTTTACAGAGATGAACAAAATTTTGAAAAAGGTTTTTTTTAATTTTTAATTTACAAAATTTGAAAATAAGGCCTTTGTATTTTATAGAAAGACCAGTTTTGTTATATATATATATAATAATCAATATAGATTTTTATAAAAATTAAAACTCTTTTAATAAAAATCAGTGATTTTCGAAAGTTTTTTGTCTGAATTAGGTGGAGATGAAATAGTTGAAATTAATTACAAGAATAAAATAATAAATTGCTTACAGAAAGTTTTTGTATGAAATTTATTTTTTGCAGAAAGTTCTTCATTTTGTCCTGATTATCCTTATAATTCCATTAAAAATTTTTTTTTATAATTATTCAATATTATCTAACTTAGAAACCAAGAATATTTCAGATTATAAAAAATATAAATTTATTGTATATCATTTTATACTGAAGTTGAAATTACAGAATTCAAAATTTCTTTCCCTTAACAATTCTTGAAAAATAAAAATTTAGAGCTTAATATTTTTTTTCAAAATTTTTATTGTATGGAAACTATAAGAATTGGTATAATAATGTATCATCATACCAATGTAATGTATTATTATACTAATGTGTAATTATGGGAATTGGTATAATAATGTAACAATCTCCATTTATAAACACAATTAAATTTCATAAATTATATTTTTTTTTTATAAAATACAAATTCTAAAATAAAAAAACGCTAAATTTAGTTTTAGAAAGGAAAAAAATAAACCTCATTTTAAATAAATATTTTAAGCATGACCATTGATTTGGATTTATTTTGTCTGAATGCAAATAAATATGAAACATGCTTTAAGTCATATTTTATTGTTGTTGAAAAAAATGAAATATTATAATTAAAAATGAATAAATAATTAATAAATTGTTGAACAAAATATTATATAAAGAACTTTTACTTATTATTCTGGAAGAAATATATTTCTTATGATATCTGATTCAATAGCTCTTAACTTTGATACAGTATGAGTTACTTCAAATAAAACCTTTCCATCGTCAGGCATTGTATGGACAAAACTTTAAAGATGTGAATATACAATAATTAAAAATGAATAAATAATTAATAAATTGTTTAACAAAATATCAGATATTTAAAGAACGTTTACTTATTATTCTGGAAGAAAAATATTTCTTAGGATATCTGATTCAATAGCCCTTAACTTTGACACAGTATGAGTTACTTCAAATAAAACAACCTTTCCATCAGATTGACCTACAAAAAGCCAGTCATTATATGGGCAAAACTTTAAAGCTGTGAATGCATTTTCTTTAGAACCCACTTCAACGATTGGTTTATGTAAGTCAGTAGACAAATCATAAATATACAATCTATGCTTTGTTATTGCAGAAAATAAGGTAGAATTAATAGAAGATAAAGACATACTAAGAATATTATCAGGTAAAATAAGGGTCTTTGATGGCTTGGTCTTGTCAAGCTCCCAAATATGCAAGTAACGATCAGTACTGCATGTGAAAAAAACATTTTTAGCAAGGGGTGACCATTTTATATCATTCACAGAACCAAAGTGACAATTTTTTATAGTAATATGATCATCTGGATTGTTTAAGTTCAAAATGAAAACTTTTCCTTCAATTGTCCCAACAGCAAAAATATCATCATTATCTGGATTTGGATGCATGCACATACAAAGTGTTGCATTACTAATATGAAATTGCTTATTCGCTTTCTGTTCTGATAATTCTTTTTTAATAGTAGTAAGAACATTCCCTTCCAGGTCTTTTCTATATTTCCAAGAAGTAACAAACCCATCTACTGAAACTGCTAACAAAATTTCGACGGTTTCATTTAATGAATATCTTTTCAACATCCATCTTATGCTTTTAATTGTGCCAACAGGTCGATCTTTAGAAGATCTGTTCGTAACATATGAGGTATTATCAGACTGTTGTAAATCAATCACTGCCACTAAACCATAGCGCATACCTACAGCAATCAAGTAAGGCTTAGACTCAGATATATCAATAGATGTAACAGCTTCTTCTAAATAATATATTCTTTCAGGATATCCGCATTTATTGATGGTCCAGCATAAAACAATACCTCGAGCTTCATGTTCTGTTTCCTCATCAGAGAGTGTACTATAACCACAAACAAAAATGCTAGGATTTAAAGGATTGCTTTCAATGCAAGTAACACTGTATTTATTTTTTAAAGTTGGTAAATAAAACTCTAGGCACTGTCGAGCAGTGACTTGAGAAATTGTTGAACATTCAGATTGCTTGGTCTCTAAAGCAGAACTAAGCTCAGATGGATCCACAGAACTGCTAAATGATACAATTGTTTTTTCATTGGTGTTATAATTTAAAGCTTTTTCAATCACATAAAGTTTTGTTTTCATTCTTTTTAAAATTTCCAGATTTTCAGGAAGTTTGTGATGAAATTCTCTGAAATCTCTAAAGGTTGTTCGTGACTCTATATATTGTTGAAATGTTTTTGGAGTGGGCTTTACATATAATTCTTTCCTACTATAATGTTTTCCCATTAAATATGCATTCACTAAAAATGACTTATCTTCGAGGATAATTGGTGTTGTTTCAATTTGTTTTACACTGACATCTACAGTTCCAATAAGAGTACTTTTATCCTGAAAATTAGATGGAAACTTTTGACAGTAATCCAATGCCTGTTTATAGTTATTATTTTTAGAAAAGACATTTTGGTATTCAGGAGACCAATTTGAAATGTATGTATCTGCAATTTCAAAGAGGGGTATAATTTTGCTGCTAAGAAATATGTTCTTCCTCTCATAATCAATTTCGATTTTATTCTTTTTAATAGCCGAAGATTGGCTTCTATCTATATTTTCGATCGTAGAATGTGTTCCCTCTGATCTTTTTTTCCCTTGGCGCAAACTATCTTGAATTGTATCTAGATACTCAGTTAAAAAACTCGAATCTAATTCCGTTTCACCAAGATACACGGAAAAAAGAGGATTAGGTGTAATTTTTACACCGATTTCACTAATTAAGAGCGGAAACACGGTGTGTTCTTGCTTTTTGTCATCTTCAAGGGATTTATCATATTTTGAAAAGCCTTCTTCTAACCAAGAATAAATTACTTCTTTCATCATTTTGAAATGAAGTAGAAATTTTGAAGTTTTCTATTTAAATAAATTATTTTCTTAGATATTTTACTATCAATAGATATTTTACTATCAATAATAATTCCATTTTGTCGAAACGTTCATGATCCTTCTTCCTCGTTGTTATGATCTCTAGTTTGTAAATACCGTAACCTTAGCAACGTATTATTGCTGTTGCCAGTGTAATAAATTAATTACTAAAATGTAGCAAAACATGAAAAAATTTCATGAAAGAATAATAATGCCTTAATATCACGTGCATTTATGTTTGTATATATCTTATATTTAAATGAAGTATACCACAAGTAATCGTTAAAATTAAATTTTTGAAAAAATTGCATTTCTTTGTTTCAAAGTTTTTGGCAACGTTAGTCATTCTTTTTGAGAATGGCTCGCCGTGGTTCCGGCGAATTTTGTTTGTGTATTTAACATAGTGTCATATAATTATGTAACATAAATTTGATTGTAAACTACTGATCGTTTTTGTTACTGAATAAACTTAATCTAAATTGAAGATCATAAACATACATTCTGTAAAATGGCTGACGCTGGATTCTTTCGAGTAAGCTTTCAATATTTTTTTCACAATCGCAGATAACCTTGCTGTAAAATGTTTGTTTATATTTGTTACCGCATTCGTTCTAAAATTTTTTATGCTTGTTAATATACACAAATATGCAATGATAGTTTCATTAATATCCATTAGTAAGTTCATTTCTAATTTAGATGCAATAATTTTTGGTTCTTTAAATTATAATTTACTAAGATCTATATGTTGAACATAGTAAGATATGCTTGTAAATTAATGAATTCAATTATTGTTAATATGCTTGAAGATCTATATTACTCTACTTTGATTCATGTTTTCTATTTTTGAAATGCTCGAATTAACTTTTTACCTGATTCTATGTTGGTTGTTTATTTAATTTAATTGACCGCATTTACCAAAATAGCGCGAGCATAAGCTCCTATTCTTTGTGAACTTGAACATTGTTTCAACATAGGTAACAATATATTTATCAATACTTAAACTTTAGACAAAAATTTTGGGGAAATTTACATAACATGATCAGAGGCAGAACAATTGCCAAGCCATGGCAACTTCCAGGCAGCTAAACTAAAAAAAGACACGGAAAGGGACCAAATCGAAGGGTATAACTCGTAGCCACCCCCAGCCCTGGAGATTTCTGTTGCATGATCTGTGGCAGAATAATCGCCAAGTCATGGCAACATTCGGGCAGCAGCCTGCGAGAAACTAAACAAATTATCTCTGCAAAGGACCAATTCAAAAGGTATAATTCGTAGCCTCCCCCTGCAAACATCTACATATTTTTTAAAATAAAATTTTCAAGTTTAAAATCTATTTGGCACCTTGGCGATAGTAGTTGGCGTGGCAGATCACAATATACAGTAATATCTCCAGAACTATGCGTGTGGTTTGATCTTGTGTTCCAATTTATTCATTATGCATTTTGTGCCTTAATTAATAAAATATCCCTATTGTGGTCTGTGGCAGAATAGTTGCCAAGTCTTCCATGCAGCGGCCCATGAAAAACTAAAAATGCTTCAACATAGGGGACTAACTCAAAGGGTATAACTTGTAGCCACCTGAGGGAAAACTCTTCATGTTTTTTTAATCAAGTGTGCAAGGTTAAAATCCATTAGGTGCCATGGCAATTGTAGTTGGTGCAACCCTAATTGAATAAAGAATTCTTTGCAAATAGCAGTCATAATTTGGGAATGTTCCAAGGCTAATTCAAAAAGTTCCAGTATATTCTAATCAGTCGTACAATTTTTAGTTTGTAGTGAGCTCACATACTTTTTTGCTTATCAGAAAAGGTCTCCATCATTCATTGGTTAATAATTCTGATTTCTATCAGGCAGTTAGCAATATACTCAGAGTAGTGAAAGCTTGTTGTATATAACTTTATAAAGGTTTTAATGCAATAAGCCTAAGTAAAGTCTAATTGAGTAATTTTTTGTACATTTTCAAAATAGAAACGTAAAGGCTAATTGGAGGAAGCCCTAGTAATATTTAGCGGATTAGAATTTTCCAATTGACCTGGTAAAATTAAAAATAAATTATGAACCACTTGTGATATTTGTAAAGGGTCATGTGTAAAAAAGAGAAGATTTCTGTATTTATTCTGTAAAATCAATTTTCGTTAAGAAAGAAAACTTTCATAGGAAATAATTAAATAATGAATTAAGATAAAAACGAAACTTTCATGCTGATATTAAAAAAAAGGCTCTTAAATTAATTCCTTCTCTTACTAGAAATCAAAACATATTGGGGCTAAAGAAATATGCTGTTTTCTGTTTTATTTATTTGTTTTTTAATTCTTAAGTTATAGTTTCATTTTTTTTTTCTTGTTAAAAAAAAAATAAGTCTCTTACAGTCCAGCAAATTATATAACTATTGTTTATTTAACAATTTTCTTAGCAGTTTTTGGAATTGCTCTTTAAATTATGTATTTAGAATTAGTTTTGCTGTGATCAGTGAAATAATTAGTTAATCATATAAACTTTTATTAAATAAAATTTATAATGCAAAATAAGTTAACATTAATTTTAAATCATTCAGTCTTTTTATCATGGTTTGTAATGAATCAAATCAAATGAAATGTAATGTAATGAAATGAAATGTAATGAATCAATGAAATGTAATGAATTTTTATATTTAAATAATTGTTTTGTAGCATTAAAATATAACTACTTACAAAATATTTTAGCCCATTCATTTTTATATTTTATAAAACAAAAATATTTTTTTTAAACAAATTAAAAAATTCTATGTTTAATATTTTATTATAATACTTACATAAGCTTATTTTATTTATAGTTGAAAACTTATTTATTAAGGAGATAAGGGAAAAGCAAAGTTATTCCAGCCTGTACTCTGCACCTGCTCAATTCAAAACAAATAACATTAAGAAAACTCAAATTATTGTTTAATAAAAAGTAATTTTTCTTAACTTTGAATCTAGAAAAATTATTATATTAATTCAAAGTTGCATACAAATTTATCTAAAAATACTACATTTTGAAAGTATGGTTTTGTGTATTCAGGGGTCTTTCTAGTTTTTTCTGAGAGGTACCTATTTTGTGAAAATTTAGACATACTTTGGGAAAATTAAAAATTGTATTAAAAAATCAACACAAAAATATGGTAAAAATATGAATTTATCGTTTCTTACGGGATACAAAAATAAAATTTTAATAAAAAGTATTTTGTGAANATTGTTTAATAAAAAGTAATTTTTCTTAACTTTGAATCTAGAAAAATTATTATATTAATTCAAAGTTGCAAACAAATTTATCTAAAAATACTACATTTTGAAAGTATGGTTTTGTGTATTATATATTAATATAAGTCAAATGAATAATAACTGGTATACGGCCGGATTTTATTATGTTTTTTTAAAAAAATCAACTTTAGCCAGGGTTTTATTGGAATTTTTTTAGTGAGTTTTTTTGGGTTTGTTTGTGGATCAAAAACCCTGAAAAAAAGCCAATTATTTTGCAATTAGCCTGTGCCATATTGTATTCATATACCTACTCTAAAAGTTTATAAATAAATGATTTCTATTAATCATTTTCTATTATTCTGATTATTATAAAACTTTATTTTAGGGAACCAGTGCTGATCAGGATAACAGATTTAGTGATAAGCAGAAGAAGCTTTTAAAACAACTCAAATTCAATGAAATCTTAAATCGTAAGGTCTGTATATTTCATAGATTTTAATTTTTTGTAATACTTTTCCATTATTTGGGCACAAGTAAATTTTATTATCATTACTTTTGAATTTATTTTATGTTAGTTAAAAGCAGAGCTCATTCTAGGCAGGGTAAACAGGGCGCAGCACACTGCTCCCCTTTTAGTCAAAAGAATCCACCCTGTTGCCCCTGAAGTAAATTAGTATCCTGATGTAATAAGACTTCATACCCTTTTTGCCCTTTCATTAAATCATAATTATTATTAATCATTTTAATTATTAAATCATAACTACAGACACTTAAAAACATACATTTATTATTTTATTAATATATGCATGCATTTTAAATAAATTACCAAGCTAATTAGCTCATTAACTCAATATATATGTTAATTTATTAATTAAAATTAGTAATTAATATGATTGCTTTGCTACTTTTAGTAAAGTAAAAAAAAAAAATCTTTTACTAATTAACAATGTTTTTTAATAGAACGTGTAAAGCCCATGGAAAGAAATTATTGCCTTTTTAGAATAATAATGCCCTTTTTTTTAAGCTTTTGCACCCTGCCCTTTTTTCTACCTAGAATGAGCTCTGTTAAAAGGAAACAATGTTAAATAGCCACCACCTCAAAATATTTTTTTAAAGAATCGTTGAATATACTCGCGTCTGCACAGAAAAGTACCTTTTCTTCCTTTAAAAAAAAAAAAAAAGTAGTAAGGTGAAGCATTAAAATTTCTGTCTATTTACTGCTACAAACTGCTCAACTCAACAATTTGTCCTTAGTTCATATAAAAAGGAATTAATTTGTTAAAAAATAATTAGCTAATTTTCAAAACCAGTGCTAAAATAATAATTAAAAAATACATTTTTTATTCTGAAATATTTTTTGTTTTGTTTAGTTGTTTTCTTAACTTGTTTAATTCTAAGTATTGGTTATCGATATGCATCAATGTACTGAATAATTTCAAAAGATGTTCCGCTTATACATGTTGTTTAGGGACAAGCAGTTTTGTTTATGACTATGATAAAAACAGTAAAAATCTATATTTTCAGGAAGGAATTAAAAAATTCTTTTAATTGGATGAATGTTATTAAGTGAAAACTAATTATTAAACTTTTTAAAAGTGTTTTTATTTTTTAAGTGATTGAAATTTTTTTAAATAAAGGTACTTGTTAACTAAAATGTATTATGAAATTACCGAACAAATACTTGTTTTCGCATAAAGTTATAATTTATTTTTAAATATTTTGATTATTTAGATATTTTTATAATTTGGATTAATTAAACCAGTTAATAATTTGGAACATGTGAGTTTAATACTCGGAAAATAAAAGAATAATTTTAGTAATATTCATTTTCTATAATTATAAATTGCATTGTTTAGCTAAGCTGAAAATTTTCTTATTTTGTTTAGAGAGATATTCAACTAAGCAGACATTTGTTAATTAAAAAAAAAAAAAAACACAATAATTGCAAATTAATAAAAAGTTTAAATTTTTTAAAAAAAGATTATTATCTGAACGAATGCTGACCACAAGGTTATAAATTTTCTAATGGAAAATATGTAGCATTACTAAGTAAAGTAGTATAATAGATTTTCAGTATCAGCATTGATTTTTAATTATCAGTTTCTGTATTGACTTTTTTACTTTAAATGATTAGGGACAAGACTAGCTTGCTAATTTAAGGCTTCATGTATTTAACTACTGGTTTAAAAAAAAAATTCCCCCAAGGAAATTTTTAGTTTTATCTTCAAACTTCTGATGATTTACAATCTTGGAATAAACGAACATGCACATACTACAAACATATTGATTAGAATTTCTTGTTAAATTTAAATTATTAGTAATTTATTACCTTTGGAAAGAAAAAATTTTTTTTTTAAAACTTGAAATTCCACAAACAAATAACAAATGTTTAGCAATGCCCATAATAATAAACTATAAAATAATTTTTTTGAAATTATTATTAAAATTAATTAGTGTTTCACTTGTGAATATTAGTTTTTACTAGTGTACTTGGTGTTAAAATTGAAGATTATTATAAAAATGACATTTATTTAAGTAACAGATCATTTTTAACTATTTATAACTGACCATTCCAATCTAATCAGATAATTTTTAATTTGATGACATCAGAACGGATGAAACTGTAGGAAATGTGGGTAGATGATATAATTCAAACTTCTTCACCTTTTTTCTAAATTCCGTAATGGGCAGCCCCTATTTCTACACTAAAGTTATGTTATTAATTCAGGTTTTCCTGTTATGTGTTAATTACACTTCTTCAACCAAACTTGGCCTGAATCTGTCGGGTCCAAGACAGTTCCTAAAATGTCTTCTTTTTTAATCTACCTTGTTATACCGCTTTTCATTATTGTTTAAGTTAGCTTGATCTTTTATGACTTTTACACTATTAATAATTTTCAATATGCTTTATGTCTTACTTCTCCAGGAATGCTTGTTGCCAAATTTTTGGTAGATACAAGTCTGATGTAACTGCGTTTCAACAAAATTGAACCAAATTTGTTGCCGTACCAAGGGACACCTGTTTATACAATTTTTTTTTTCTTCTTTTTTTTTAGATTTGAAATATATAGCATCAACTTTTCAGGTTCCGATAATGCTAGACATTTGCTACAATATAGGCTAGTGTGCCCTGTAATAGCTATATTCAATCATTTTAATCTCTATATCTTGATTAAAATCATTGATTGCTTTTTCAAATCCCAAACCTGAAAGTCAGAGAGCTTTTATTATACATTAGCAAGTGCGTACTTAAAAGCTAAATATTTTACTTTTTAAAAATAATTTTGAATTTTCAAACAATGGTTTTTTTAAGGCTAAAATTTATCGAGCAATTGAGACACAAACATTGAATATTTTATTTAGACATAGACTTGTGCTTCAGAGTCATTAATAACTGATCATCTAAAAATTAAAAGAATTGGTTTTTACAATTTCAGTTTTTCAATGATTACATGTATGAAGTGTTTTTTATAAAAATAATACATTTCTATTTTTTTATTTGTTTTAATTATCTCGGGGTATATGGCAATACTCAATAATAATACTTTGTTTCATATTCAGCTGAAATATCATTGGTAATTTGAAAAGATTAATTTTTATATTATGTTGCTTGTTTCATGGGATCAAGTTAGTAAGTTTTGGTTAAATATTTTTAGAATATTATTTGTCTTTGTTTTATTCAGCCTCAACTAGTTAAACATATAATAGAATGAATTAATTTAAAGCTGCAATTTTAAATTTCTGTTATTATTTTACAGATTGATATGAATAAAATCAACCTGGATGTTGTTAAACCGTGGATTGCCAAAAGAATTACTGATATGCTTGGTGGCATTGAAGATGATGTAGTTGTAGAGTTTGTTTTTAATCAGTTGGAAGCAGAAAAGGTATTATTCACTTTGATTTACGAAAATTAGAAAAAACGATGTGTAAAAATGTATATTTTAAATCATTTTTTTTAATGTAATGAATTTTTATTCTCCATCTATAAAAATAAATTCATTATATTAATTATTATATTATTGAAAATTATAAATGTTATTCATATCAAGTCTTAGCTTATAATTTAAAAATTTTCAGTTTCCTGATGCTCGCATGATGCAAATTAATTTAACTGGATTTTTGAATGGCAAAAATGCAAGAGAATTCATGGCTGAGCTGTGGACTTTATTGATTAGCGCAGAAGAGAGTACTGATGGCATACCTGCTGCGATTCTCGAGCAAAAGAAGGATGAAATTAAAAAAAGAATGGTAAGTCTTGGTTCAGTATAGTTAACACAAAAATTTAAATTTTTAAGTCTTTGTTTAAACAGCTAATGCTATTTTGCAAACAAACGCTGATTCGACTAAATTTAAGATGATAGGATTAACAGTTTGGAATTATGATGGTTTCATACCAAAAAATAGAATATTTAATTTGTACCTATTTACACATTTGATGTTACCACCTAGAGGAGTAAGTAAGCAAGGTCTGTAGTTCGATCTTAGGCTAAATTGAACGAGGCCGATGAGTCAGTAGAAATAATAATTCAGAAGTTGTAAGTTTGTTATGTATAAAAATGAAAACTATTTTTCAATTGTAGTAAATTACACTTTTGACTTTGCTATCTAATCAATTAAGGATATTGTTTCCTGTTTTATTATTATTATGTTGTGCTAAATAACACTCAATTTGAAATTATAGAACCAATAGTTTACACTTTTCTTGTACTTATGTACACTGTCCTTCTTCCAAACTATTTATTCTATCCATCTGGATTTAGTCTCATTTAATTCAGTGTTAAAAAATTGCCTCTCTTGTCTTGTTAGTCTTAAAGTAAGATTGTCAAAAGCATTAAATAAGTTCAAATCAAAAATAGAACTCTTTATGCATAAAAGCTCTTTCAACTTTTGAATTAATAGTTCGATTAGTGTTTGCTCTCATTCGAGATAGCATGCTGAAATACACAGGGGACGATATTCTGCTTGCTTTTTTTTAATAACAGGTTTTTGAAGAATTAATGCTAGTTTTAATTCCAATATTATCTAGTACTTCCAATTTTCCTGATATGAAATTAAGCAGATTATGTTAAATTCTTTAAATGTTATCAGTAGCGTAGAAGCATTAAAAGTGACATTCTCTTGTTGAATATTTTATTTTTGGTGTATTTCAGGAAGAACATGATAGGCTATCATCCAGTCAAAAGAAGTATGATGATAAGTCCAAAAAGCGTAGATCTCGCCATAGTTCTTCTTCATCTTCCTCCTCATCTTCCGATCATGGCAGGAGAAAAAAGAAATCCGAAAAGTAAATTCTGATTTTTGACAAAATGAGTTTTCACATTTAACTTTTATTTTTCTAATTCTTTATTTTATATATTCCAAAGTCTATAGTAATAAAATGAAAGTATATTAGTGACTGATATTTTAACAGATTTTTTAAACTGTTTTTAGGCTGAAGTTATAAAATTTTAAAATCTTTAATTCTTCGAATATATGCAAAATTTTTACACGTGGGTCTGATTGATTAAAGCATCAGAAATGTTTGATAATAAATTTGAACCTCTTAACAATAGATAGTTTAGTTTGCTCTTGATGAAATTATATCTTACTGATCATGTTATAGATTAGGGTTAATAGTTTTTCTTTTTTTTAAATCTTTATTGTAATTTCTTTTCCAGTAGTAAATAATAGAAAATTTCTTCTTTCTTTGCTATTAATTTTTATGTTTTCAATAGGTCTGAGGAATCATCAAAAAAGACTGCCAGCCTTGATAAAGAAAACATTTCTAAAAGTCGGAGAAGGTCTAAATCACCTTCACCCTCTCGTCACTCTAAGAAAAAAGAAAGGTTTGTATAATTATGGCTATATTTATGTGATTTGATGCCAAGTTTTTCATGACTGTTTCCAATTTTTCTTTCCTTATAAGTTCTGTTTTATTATTATTTCAAAATTTTTTCTCTAACCAATTTTTGGAGCACAACAAATTTATACATTATCCAGCCTGTGCCTGTGACAATCTAACAATCTATACAGAATGGTATAAAATTCGGAATGTAGGAACTTGCCGTTAGCAAATATCGTTTTCAAAAATTTCCTGTACTTCACTTCTCAGACATTTGTGATGTTAAAATGTCAAATTTTATTTAATTCAATTCTCAAATTTTAAGTAATTAATACTAAAATTTTAAATAAAACTATATTTGTTAAATTATTTTTGTTAAGTCAAATGCTTGCACAATATTTTTAAATTATCTTAAATTTTTTTTATAAGTTTTTGTAGCAATTTACTGCAAAATAGTTTTAATAATGTTTGTTAAAACAGTGATTTTTATTGCCTATACCTTTTACAGGTCTCGTTCCCGTTCAGCTCAGAGAAGTCGATCAGGAGAGAAAGATAAATCTCCTGCTCATTATTCTCCTCCTCATAAAAGTAGATCACCACGTCAGGCTTTATCCCCAGTTGATGATAACAAGAAATCATCTCCTGATAGAAAAAGCAAGTCTAAGAGTAAGTCGTTATCTCCAACTCAGGGGAAATCCCGCAGCAAGTCTCCTTCTCCAGCTCGAAGGAAATCTCCTCGTAGGAGTAAGTCTCCTGTAAAGGACAGAAGATCCCCCAGAAAAAGAAGTTCGCCTCGAAGGAGCCGTTCACCTCTCCCTTCAAAGTCTTGGCAAGGTAGAAGCCCACGACGAAGTCGTTCACCAGTTAGGAAACGTCCGTCTCCTCGTCGCTCCCCAGTGAATCGTCGCCATAACTCGAGGTACAGTAGATCACCAGGAAGGAGAAGTCATTCCCCACACAAACGTCGAAAGACACCCCCGAGGAGAAGTCGTTCGCCTCCACCTCGTAGCAGACCAATGAGGCGTAGTCGCTCACGTACTAGGTCCCCCGTACGACGCCGAACACCATCTCCTCCAAGACGCAGTCTTCCTAGAAAGCATCCACGTGCAAAGTCACCTAGCAGAAGCTCTTCTCCAACTCCCCATTCTTCTTTACCAAGAAAACCTAATAGGTAATAAATTTTTTTAAACCAAATTGTGATAGTATATGTGTATGGTAAGCTAAAGTGATACATGTTGCTCATTTTTGACGTAGTCAACTAGCATTCTAACTTGACTGCAGCAGAGTACTTCTTAATCTTTTACTGCTGTTTCTAAAAATATTACTTATTTGTGGTTTTCTTCTCCATCATAGCACAAAATAAATTAGTTTCGCTTAAATTTTCCATAAAATTTAGTTTGTTAATATTTGCTGTTGCAGGAGTTGGGAGACAACAGAGCAATTGTAGTTTGGTATAAGATTACACTTTGATCATAGCTGAACATTAAAAGCTGTATGTACCCTATGGAAATTGACAGTTTTTTTCCAATGATAAAGTTAAACACAATCCTTCAAAAAAAAATTAAAAAAAATTTGCAATTTATTTGCCTTTATGATATTTTTTTAAATGTTCATTCTTTTAAAAACTGATAATGTAAAATGCACTGATTAAATTAAATCATTCCATTTAAAAAAAAAAATGTGAATTTTTTTTTTTTTTNTAAAATACAGTCGAACCCCGCTATAGTGAACCTGGGATATAGTGAACACTCGGATGTAGTGAACTTTTTTAGCGGTCCCGTCCGTATTCCTATTTAAATAATGTTATTTTTAACGCTTATAGTGAACAGCTTAGAACTTGGAAACTCGGTTATAGTGGACTCAAATTTCATTTCTTTAAATATCTTTTTCAGTCCTCCATCTTTAAACTTGTAGGTGTTGGGACTGAAAATCAATCAATCGACACTGTGTAAGGAAATTTCCTTGTCAAAATCTACAGTTTCAAACATTTGGAAAAATTGCAGTGCAATTCTTGCGGCATACGACAAAAACATGGTTTCATTGAAAAAACTGCGTGGAGCTGAAAGAAAGCGTAGAAGATGCTTTGTTAAGATGGTTCGAAATCTTGTTCAAAATGTAAAAATCTTGCATTCTTTGCACATTGTAGATAAGAAAATTGATGAACTCAATTTAAAATCAAATTGTGTTCAATCAAAAATCACAAATTTTTTTCATAAAAAGTGAAAATAAAACTAATATTTAGCGACGTAATTACTTTTTCCATCAATTTTTGCTTTATTATCTGTTAATTAGTTAATAATTTTTTAAATAACTTATGCAAAATTGCAAAGCCAATTTTCAATCATTCAACTGTCTTATGCAAAAAATATTCTTCAAAAAATTTGGATATAGTGAACCATCGGTTATAGTGGACACTTTACTGAGTCCGCAGGCGGTTCACTATAGCGGGGTTCGACTGTATATATATAATTTTTAATGCTTGCTTGTGTTCTTATGGATTTTAATTTTGTTTTTTTTAAATGCTGTCTATTTGCAGTTTATTATTTGCAGTTTAGCATTCTAATAAAATATCTGAATTGAGAATTGCATAGTTAAGCAGAAATTATTAAGTTATTATAAGCATTAAGTTTATAATTTGAAGTTTGTATTTAAAAATAAGTTTCGCTTTTTGTAATTTAATTTATTTCTTATTAAAATTAAATTCTTAGTTTTTCTGCTTAAATTTAATTTATATTAATATCTATTAAACATGTTTAATTGGTGATTTTATAGGAAAATGCGGGCAACGTCTGAATCATCATCTGCTTCTTCCGGTTCTTCTGGTTCAGCTTCACCTCAGCCTCCTAAAAAATCAAAGAAAAGGGCATCAGTGGATCCTGAGCATTCAGATGTCATGAAAAAAATGGTATTATTTGAACTTAATTAATTATTTCAATTTATATAATTTTTTATTCCAAAAAATTCTTAAGATAATACAATGAAACCAAACAAACATTGTAGTGATCTAGAGAAAGTATTGCAATTTAAGCAATATATTTTTACATGTAACTCAATATTTTACAGGTTCATATTTTATATTTGACATATCATATCATATTTTATATATCTAATATTTTCGTTGTGTTTATTGAGTTTGTTTTTAAGAAATAATTGCTTATTACTCAAATCATTTTGGGCTTTAATTGAAAATTAGTGTTAACTTTTGCACTAGATTACTATACATCTCTACAACTGTGTCAAAGATTATGTGAGTGTACTTTATTATTAAAATCAGTCAGCTTTTTTTTTTAGTCAAATCAGTCAAATTTTTTTTTACCTTACAAATGGAATGTTTTATGCCAAGTTATAACATATCTAAAACTTAATGTGCATCAGAAATTAACTGTGAGTAATAAGTGGTTAGTTAAAAATGTCGCAATTGGTATAGAAAAGCATCTTGGTTTGATATTTGTGCAAATTACTTTATTTTCTAATCATCTCTACACATATCATCTGCGATTGTGACCACAGGGTTCCCGCGGCCTTGAAAAAACCTTGAAAAGTACTTGAATTTCATTTTGATTTTCAAGGGCCCCTAGAAGTACTTGAATATGATATTAAATCCTTGAAAAATTCAAAATGACCTTGAAAAGTATCGAAAACTCAGGAAAACAGCCCTATTTCCAGCTTTTCTGTGTTTAACTTTTTTACACACGTTTGTGTGAGAGAATGACTTTCCCGTTTTTCAGATGATGACACATACTGTTTGATTTTAGGATTTTATGCATGTTTGGCTGATTTTAGGAATTTTAAATATTGGGAACTTGCGCCAGATTCTGACAAAATCTCGATTCTTATCGTCAAAGCATTTTAGTTTAAAATGTAAAATTTTAGTCTATCTTTTACCAAAATTTAAGTCCTTGAGAATTTTATAATAAGTCTTAAAAAGTACTTGAATTTTCTTTCTAAAGTAGAGCATGAACCCTGGACCACTAAATAAAGATTGCTATGTTCTATTTTATTTCTGGTGTTTCATTTTCTAATACAATGTTTTTAAATAATTGTAAAATTATTATTGCAAGCAAGTTGGCCTCAAAAATAATTAACATAGATATGTTACATTTATTAGTAGCTTTGCTGGGACCAAAAGTTATTTATTTTTATAGACAGAATGATAATTTCAATATTATAAGTGTACAAAGAATGATTTTATTATAAATCTGAAAGTACTTCTTTTATTTAAGTTAATTTACTGAAATTAAAAATAATGTTAGGATTAAATGAAATTGTTATTTATTATATTTGTAATATTTAGAAATGATTGTGCTCCAGAAAAATCCGAATTTTCACATTTTTCGCGAACCAAGTTTCGGAAGTTTCCAGAAACCCAAGGTCCAGAAGTTTCAAGCAATCATTGATCGCATTTATGTATAAAAATTCTGTTATATTTTATTTAAAAATATTAGAACTAGAATTTATAATTGGTATCTTTCAATTGTAAACATTTGTTTCTGGTAGGAAATTTGATTAGAAATAAAAGTAAGCTTATACATGATTATTCATTGAAATTATGCCACATATAATTTATTTAGAATTTCATGTTTTAAAAATATCAATGATTTAAATTTATAAAGACATTAAATTTTTGAAATGGATTTTACTAAAGAAATTTTTAGGGTTTTTGTGTTCTGTTCACAATTACCTCTGAATAATGATATTTTATTTTTAGTTCATTACTTTGAACGAATATTGATATTAGACTCGTTGACATGTATTGGTGTTTCATTTCAGGAAAAAGACGCTTTTGATATCAATCCTAAAAAAGATTCAATACAAAAAACTAGACATTACCGTTCACATGGCAGAGAATCTGATTCTAGTTCAGAAGAAGAGTCGCCAGTTAGGAGGCCTTTGCAAGGCAAATCAAAAATGTCCAAAAAAGTAATTAAATTTTTTTATTTTATGCATATTGCAGTATATATTTTTTGATATGAAGTTGTTGTTAATTTTGAATGAAGCCTTGTTAATTTTTCCAGATTTTATTACCGCTTTGTGATACATATAGTTTACCCTGTAAAATGTTTACTTTGTTTGTAAGATCCACTTAATTTTTAAAATTCATAAATTTATCTATGATTCATTTCATTCAGTATTTCAATTAATCTATTGAACTTACCAAAATAATTTTGTTTATTTTGTTTGTGATATTAATAATTTGATACAATTATTCTAATGGACAATTGACTTCAAAAAAGCTGCTATTTATAAAATTTCCCATTTTTATTTATAGAGCCTTTTTATGATAATAAATATAGAGGAGAGGGAGTAAATTATCATTTTTCATGAGTATAATTTTTAATCAAATAAGTTTACAAAATATGTTAGAATGATGGATCAGTTATGGATTTAAAGTTGTAAAAAAATTTAAATTAAACTTCCATATAATTCTTACAAAAAAATATGAATGCAGAGTATTCAAATTGCAGTTTAGAATCACTCTTCCAAATTTACAAATTTTTGATAATTTGCTTGTTTTTTGTATATTTATTAGGGTGCTGCTAGAAGTTCATCTTCCTCCTCTTCTGGGTCTTCAGGATCTCATTCTGCATCTCCTTCACCTAGAAAAGGAAGACCTAGTCCTTATGATCGCAGGTAAAGCACTTTATTTATGACTGCATATGATGTAATATTACATAAAAAATAATTCATCAATTTTGTTCAGTTAAATATTTTTAGTTTCAACCCAGTAGGATGTTCATATTCTTTATTATAGAAAAGATACATATTGTGTCAAAAGTTTTTGTGGAGGTATTTTGAAATTGCATTCATAATAATTATAATTTCTTTTTTGTAAGAATTGTGCATGGGTGCCACTCTTCAGTCCTGAGGACTGAAATCAGTTTTGAGAAAAAATCAATGGGCTGAATTACATCCTCAAATTTATATTTATTTCCAATTTTTTTATTCAAATTGTTTTCAAAAAATAAATAAAATGTACATTTAAAAAAAAATGCAAAAAAAAAAAAAAAAAAAAAAAAAAAAAATCTGTGAAGATAAAGAAAAGTAATGGCTTTTGTGTTATTTGATCAAATCAATTTGATCAAATGATAATATCACACCACAATTAAAGAATGGGACTGACTAACTTCATGTGATTGTGTATGCAAATTTTAAATCTAATTCTGCTTGAGTTTGTAATTTTTCCTGATATTTTGAGAGGTTACAAAAAAAAAAAAACTAATTATGATTATTTTCCTTAAAAAATGAAACTTATTGCTCTAGGGAAAAAACTTTATTCTGGTAAAGTGTAAAGATATAAAGTAATATATAAGTAAATAATATAGTAAGTAACGATGTAAATGGCGTCAAGAAAAAGTTGGTGTTATAAAAATGTACATGAGGTTAGCTGTTATTTTTGTTTTGTCTGCTGCAAAAAATAAACTTATAAAATAAAAAGGCTTTTTTAGAAAAAATAATCCAAGTCACTAATATATTATGTGGGACTGAACATAATTTATTTTTTCGGATTTTCAGCTCACGAAAAGTGATAACGCTAATGCTAGACCGTGTAAATTGATAAAAAAAATAAGTTCAGTCTTGAATTTTCCTTAGAGTGGCACTCGCGATTGTGAGTAATAATATAAGAATTTTCTTCAAGTATTGTGCATAAAGCCAATTTTATGACATTTACTTAATAGTTTTTCTTTTTGCGAAATCATACATTTAATGTGTTGAAAGACTGGCATTTTCTATTTTTATTTGTATCTTAATTTATTTCAAGTTGAAGCTCAATGTGAAAGTACCATAATGTTTACTTGATTAAGTGGTTCAATTAGATGCTTATTTGAATATTCCAGTTACCACAGTATATAAAAGCATTTAAATAAAAATCTTGTTATTCATAATTTTAACACCACTCTTTTAGATGTCAGTAGATGTATTATAATTACTTATAAATAATATTACAATAAGTTTTTAATCTTTTATGGCTTTTATTACTATCTTTTATGGTCATTCAAAAGAATGCTAGTATTATAAAATTGTATTTTTTTTATAATCTTTTAATGTAACATAAAAAAAACAACTAGAAATGTAATTAACTGATATCATTTTTTTCGTAACCTATATAAACAGTAATTGTCTTAAAATTTACCTATTAATCATATTGAATAAATGGTTTCATTATTCACAAGAGTTATAAAAAAGTGCTCGGTATTCCGTATCAGTATTCTAAATGGTTAACTTGATTTATAAGTTAACTTGTTGTGAAATGAATAACAATAACATATCTTCACATCAAACTTGACTAATTTTAATAATTTAGCAAATATTTTATGCTTATAATTAACCTATTATATTTATTTATTCTTGACACTAGCCTCATAACGAAAAAATTTTTCATTTAGAACTGCTCTATAGATTTATTAAAATGAATAAAAGGTAATTTAGCTATTAATAAATTTTGTCAGTAAACTATAATTTTTTTATTACTTCAGTAAATTGTTTGATATTACATTATTTTGTTTACAGAAAAGGAGAAAATCATGTTTTTGACAATATTATTATTTGCATGTAGTATTTCTGCAATATCTATTTTATTTTTGTAGTGAATGTATAGATTTCTTAAATACTTCCCACATAATGCAAATTTTTGCTACTGAAGTTTTAGGACTATTTATTAAAAATTTAAATTAGTTTTTAAATTTCGTTTGGACAAAAAGTTATAGAATTTAAACCAAAACAGAATACTGATAAAATGTATCAAGTGTTTACTGGATCAAATCATTACGTAAAACTTAATTTATTGCAAACTTGAAAATTTGAATATTGTCATAGTTGAAGCAATTATAGTTTTAATAAATGACTCAAAATTTGTATAGTATAGACATTATATGATAACTTTTTGTGGAAAAACATTATATGCTCTATAGCAGCTGTTCTTAAAGGATCAATTTTCTTTCAACAGAACACTGACATCATCAATAAAGTACTTAAAGACAATTGTGAGCATATCAAATGAACTATAAGGAACTACCCATTATATTGAAAATGTTTAATTAGAAGAATAAATTTTTTTATCACTTTATCTTTACTAATCATAGAATTAGGCTCTAAGTAGACAGTTGCATTCACATGCCTTTGAGCAGCATCTAGTCTAGTTCTGAATTTTATGTTGGTACAGTCGGACTTCTATTTAACGATCTTCTATTTTGCGAATATTTTCGAGGAACTAAGAACATTTTGGAAATTTCTTCGTAAAATAACTTCCAAATAGGGAAGTGAATTTTCTATTTAACAAACTTTTCTTTGAGATCCACTTTCCCTATTTTCCAAAATTTTTCAAAACATTTCAAGCTTGTTGATGCATTTTATGGGGGAAATGAACTTGAATTAATTTTCGAAGTCACTGCTTTATGTAGTGTTTCACAAAGCAGTAAAATCCCTTTCCCTTTTCGTTTGCATTTCAAGTGAAAAACTCAGTCCAAATTAACGGATTTTATCAGTAGCAATTAAACTTAAGAACGCATGTGGTAATGCATGTTTAAAATTACTTTTATGATAAATGTAGCTATAATTTTATGCATAAATTTACCTTTTTTTTGTTGAAAATGTATGTAGCGTGATAGTGTAACACTGGATAATGTCTTGCTCTATTCTTGCTTTCCATACAGATTTCTTTTATATGGTTAAGATTTATAAAATAAATAGTANCTTAAGACCGCATGTGGTAATGCATGTTTACAATTACTTTTATGATAAATGTAGCTGTAATTTTATACATAAATTTAGTTTTTTTTTTTTTTAAGTTGAAAATGTATGTGGCATGGTAGTGTAAGACTGGATAATGTTTTGCTCTATTCTTGCTTTCCATGCAGATTCCATTTATGGTTAAGGTTTGTAAAATTAATAGTAGATACTAGTTTACAAGATAAAGGTGCATAAATTGCTGGTTTAATTATGCCTAGTGTTTATGAATTTAAAACCTGTTTTGTGCTGTTTATGTATTTTAAGAGGTGATTTTCTATTTAGCAAATTTTCCATATAACGAACTTATTATCAGGATTTAGCAACTTTGTTAAATAGAGGTCCGACTGTATTTGCATAATGAAAAAATAGGGGGGGGGGGACTTAAAAATGATGATATGGCTGTTAGGAAAATATATTTCTTTATTGGTGAATTTAGTTATGATTTGTAAAGCGGGATGGGAAATGCTATGTACTTTTTTATAAAATGCATGTTCTGTCCATAATTTATTCATTATATTGTTTTTAAAAGAATTATATATTTTCATGCTATTTTTTTCCCTGGCATTTTACTTTAAATAATTTGATAAAAACAATCAAAATATAAAATAAATAGTGAATTATTGATTGGATCTAAAAATAACGTGAGATTTGAGAATTGTTACTGGTTCTCACTCTTGGAATCCCAGGCTTCTGCAGAGCATTCTGTAGCATTATAAAGTTCTTCTGTTGTCTTAAGTTCTTATTATTTCTAAAAAAAAATTCTTTGATTTCTCAATAAATCACAGTAATGTTTATATTGTTCCTTATGTTAATTCATTTTATAATGGCAAATGCTATTGCTTCGAACCTATCTTATTTTTCGAAAAGTTGGGCAAATTACTGTTAAACTAATAAATTTAGTTTTTTAGTTAAATACCAAATTCTTTGTAATTATTTTTACTATAGAGTGTATAAAATGTACCTATTATATTTTAGTTTAGAAATTTAAAATGGCATTGATGCTAATTATGAGTTTAAGAATAGTAAAATGTTATCAAAGTAGTAATGATTTGTTTATAATTGTACTGTATTTAATTTTTTAGAGGTAGTATTTCTCCTAGAAGACGCAATGCTCGTGGTACTCCTCAATTTAGAAACCGCAGATCACCAACTGATGATAGAATGCGCAGAAGATCCTTTTCTCAAGAGCGCCGTTCACCTATGCGAGATAGGGGGCGCTATGACCGAGATAGAAACTTTCGTATGGGAAGGGAACGTGACAGAGACTGGTATAATCGTGACAGAAACTTTAATGACAACCGAAACTACAGAGAACCGGATCGCAGAGAAATGGATCGTCGAAGAATGTCTCCTATGGACAGGCGTCCTCCAGGTATGACCTAGTTTTGATTTCTTTTCTGTTCATTTTAATTCATTAATTTATTTTCATCTTTTTTAGATATTTTATTTGACAATTGCTATGATTCTCAGATGAATAGATGCCAATTTTTAACGTATTAAAATTTTTATCACTGCTTAAATACACTAAAACATTTAATTATTTTTGTGCTACTCTTCAGCTATGAAATGCCGTAATAAATATTTGAATAGCTTAGATATTAGTTATATTAATATGGGTATATAACAGGGTTTAAGCTGAGTCTAAAAATTCATTAGCAAAAAAGCTAAAATCTGAAAAAAAGTTTTAGCAAAATGCTAAAATGCCATTAGGCTTATAAAATTACTTTATATCAAACAAGTACTGTAAGTTATCTGACAAAGAATAGCTTAATGTACAAGAATATCAAAAAGAATACCTATAAAAAAAAAAAAAACACATTTATTATTTATCAAAACATTTTGGTTTATAATTAACAATCTTCCTTTCTTTCATGTTTGCCCATTTTACAAATGCTTCTTGAAAGTTAAATGCACTTTCAGGGCCCTCAATATTAATCATTAACAAATTGTTTACATGGTTGATTAACAACCTGTTTCGAATATTAGTTTTAATCAAATTAAGGCAGCTAAAGCCCCTTTCACAGTCAACAGTGTGCATTGGTATTGTTGCACAATACTCTATAACAGAAGTTATTAATGGGTACTGTTCAGACACATCATTGGTATATAAAAATAAAAGTAATTCATTAAATGACATGTTTTTACATCGTTGCATTAAGATGTGTTTAAATAATCCCCATTCACAAAGTAATTCAGTTTCTGTAAACTGAAAATCTTTTCTGGGAGATTCCGAAAACAAATTGAAAATGCAACGGCCATTTTTGTTGATCGCTATGCTTCATCTCGTTTGATCACGTTTTTTTCGTGAACGCTAGCGTCATGGTTCTTCTTGCGAAAGATATTTAGATTTTTTCTCCTTGTTTGATCAAGTTTTCTTCATGGATGTTAGCGTCATGGTTTTTCGCGGAAGCTTTTTTTAATGGAATTTAGTAAAATCCTTTAGCAAAAATGCGAAAATGCTTTGTTGAATTTTAGCATTTTTGAGGGGTCTTTTCGCATTTTGCGAAAAAAGCTACCGTAGCGGAAACCCTGGTATATAAGGTTATAATTATGTTATTTAGTATAGCAATTCTAATTTTTTTTAATTCTTACTTTAAAAAAAATAATTAATTTAGTTTTATTGTATACAGTCAAGCACAAAAAATTATCACTGGCATTGAAATATGCATTTTATTATCAACTCTAAAACTTCTTGTGTTGTTGATTTAATTTTGTGTAATAATGCAATCCTTCCATTAGATTCATTTACTTATGTTACAGGGCATTTTCTAGACAAATTTAGATGTGTTTGAAGTTTCAATTCTTTATCTCTTTGGCTTCCTCATTATAACTTTTTTTTAAAAATTGAGTTGTAAGCTTTTAGAAACTAATGAATCAAATTTCGTTACTTACTGGAAAAGTTAAGTACTGTGGAAATGGCCCTAAAATAAATTAAGTAGCTGTATTAAAAGAGAATAATTCTGTTTGTAGTTCATATTTATTAAAAAAATTCACAGCATTTCAAAATGTTTGAGAGAAATTTTCTAATTATTCTATAATATTTGAGTTTAATTTAATTTTAAAGAAAAAACTACTAGTTTTTGTTAATAAATTGAGCAAGTTTTGTTATTATCAGATATCTGATGTTAAATGTTGTGGAATAACCCTAAATTATAATAAGATGCTGTGTTAATTGAGAAAAGATTTCGTTAGTTTGTATAAAAATTCCACTNTTTGTTAATAAATTGAGCAAGTTTTGTTATCAGATATCTGATGTTAAATGTTGTGGAATAACCCTAAATTATAATAAGATGCTGTGTTAATTGAGAAAAGATTTCGTTAGTTTGTATAAAAATTCCACTGTTGAGTTTTTAAATACTGTGAGAAAATGTTTAATTGTGTAGCTAAATTCATAGATTTTTTTTTTAAAATTGAGTTAACTCAAGTTAAGAAAAATTTAATCGATATCAAGGTTTTTATTAAAAATTGACATGTGATATCACAAATGTGCACTGTGGTGTAATTCTTAAATGGAATACACAGTTACGTTTAAAAAAATTTTGTAGTTCGTAATAAAGCTTCTCCTTTTTCCTGCTCATTAGTTGACCGTAGAAGACACACCCCTGATGACAGACGCCGTTTTTATGAACAAGAACAACGCCGGAGATCACCTAATCAAAGGCAATCATTTGGCAGGCGACCTAGCCCTCGAAACAGACCGAGATCAGTATCTCCACCTCCTGAAGAGATGCGAAGTGTTGAAAGAAAACGTGGCCGATCCCCTAGTGAAATGCAAGGGCGTTCTGTAGATAGGCGAGGACGTTCCCCTAGTGACATGCCTGTCAGATCTGGTGATAGACGTAGATCTCCTAGTGAAAGACAGCGTCGGACACCTATGGAAGTGCCTCTTAGAGCAGCAGATAGACGTCATAGGTCTCCTAGTGAAACTATGGATAAAAGAGGTGGTTCTCCAATAGAGGTTCGTCGACGCTCTCCTAGTGAAACTTATCAAAGAAAGAGGTATGGTTTATTTTAAAATTAAGTCTTGTAATTTAGTCTTGTTTCTCATTTTAAAAAAATTTTTTCCTTCCTTTTTAATAAATAATAATGGACACAAGGATTGGAATGGAAAACAAGGGTTTTTTTTATAATAAAAAAAAGGGGGTATTTTTTGTCTTTGGAACTTTTTGTTCTTCAAAACTCCTCTATGATTTTAATGATAAAAGTGGAAATATAATTTTCTACTTCATGATAGTTTATAAATTCAGAATTAATGGCTGTTTACTTAACATTGAATGTGACTTCTTTAATTTCACTCTAACAGTAGTTAGAATTTGTTTAGATTAAATATGAACAATATTTAAAAGGATTGTTTTATATGATATTTTTATTTTAAGGGGTGCTTAGCAATTTTCTAAACACAGCATTTGCAGAAAAGTTTCACTGTTCTTTGGTTTTGGCAATTGCAAAAATGGAATTTTATGAGCAATAAATTCACATTGTTTTAAAACTGAAGTTACTAATTTTAAACTGAAACGTTTATTGTAAAAAATAGTGAAGTGAATTTTTATAACCGCTGTAAAAATATGCCTACTTGACTTGGCAAACTTGTTTTTTACTTACTGCTGTTTTTATGTTAATAGCAGTGATACTTAGTTGTGCTTGATAAATGATGTTTCTGAGATGAAACATCATTTATAATAAAATTATTTATTTTCAACAGCACATGGAAAAAGTAAATTTCTGTACAAACTTAATGAAGTCTTAAAATGTGATAGCAAATTAAAGTTACTGCTTTTATTTTTATTGGGTCACATGTGCAATAATAGCAAAATAAATAGTTTAATTCTTTACTTAACTGCTTTTGTTAACTGTCTGATTGTTATTCGACCATCTTTGTTTTGAAAGCGGTTTTTGAGAATAAAACTAAATTTGCAGTGCTGTGTTTGACTCTAGATAATTTTTTTATATTAATTCTTTGTCTTAAATTTTATTCAGGATCCAGATCGAAAACTTTTCTGATAATAAAAGATTCACTTCTCATGATTAAAAAATTCATTTCTTGTTTAACATTTACATTTCTTACACATACCTTACATTTCTTAGATATAATTATCATAAAAAGTTTTTTTGTTTTGGCATAATTTGGAATCTTCCAATTCTTTTCCGGAAATATCCATTCTATTCTGGGATGCATAGGAAATGTCAATATTAATAAAATTTAATTTAGCATTTTCATCTTAGTCTGCTTGATTCCTGTGTGCCTTAACACTTGACCATGATTTATGTAACATTTAAAAGAGTAAATACCAATTCATCTTGCCAGAATTTTCAGAAGTTTATAAAATAAACTTTCCTTAATGAAATTTTATTTATATTACAAGATAATTTGGTGCAACCAAAATTTTACTGAAAAATACAAGCCATTATCCAGAGTCAAATAAATGCCATCTTTAACCTTTTGCTGGAGGATTCTATAACAAGTAGGCCAGAATGATCTTGCAGAGGATAGTGCTGAATTTTAATATCGTTAAATTTTGATTTGTGTGTTTGTGCAAAATAAGAATATGAAAAATGAATCTTAAGTAGATTGGATTTATGCCGAGAATTTTTTTTTAAAAATAAACTTTTGTTCCTTATCAGCGTTTTTATAGATGTCACAGTTTTTCTGGATACTGCAATAATAAATACCATAGGGAGATTTTCAAGTTTTAAGAATTCAAACAGATAATCTTGAAGTAGGAGTTAGGAATGTAAAACAAATTTTTTCTTCTGTTTCTTACATTTTTTTTTTTGCAAATTTCTTTCCTTACAACTATTGGTCAGTCATTTTTTTTCTTTGCTTTAATTATTTTTCTATAAGAGCATTTTTGATTTTTATTGTTGTTTTTAATACCGTGTGACACTTTCTCTGAAAAATGTGGTAATGGGGAAAATTGAGTCATAAAAGCAATTTCAGCAATTGGTTTATTTAAAAAAATAAGATCAATTTATTTTTGTTAGTCAGTCTTTTTATCTTTAATATTTCTTATTTATTACTATCATGGTTTTATTTCTCTTTATTATTTTTATTCTCCTGATTAATTTTTATTTTAGAAAATAGAGGGTTTTTGGCATTGTCATTATTAAAATAGATCACAATTAAAAAAGAGTAAAGAATTAAAAATGATTGATTTTTCTGTTGCAATATTTTTTCTCATGTCACTATTAAAGCTTTTTATTGTTAATAATTTTTATGGGTGGCTGGTCTTTACCATTATTTTTTTAAGCTTGCTTCTGATAGACTTATATTTTTATTAATGCATAGCCCTTTTTTGTGGAAATAAGGTATACTGTAGAAAAAAGAGATTTGCCATTCAAGTAGCTAGAATTTGTTGCTCTGACCCATTTGGAATTATTTAGTTTTTACTGTATAAGTGATGAGTTTTTTCTAAGTGAATGATTTTCTATATTAGAACTATATATATATAGCACAATAAAGACAAAAAGGATTACAACTTATATATAATAAAGGAAATATTTTGCAGCAATATTTTTATTAGCCCAGAAATATTTTTATGTTTACATTTTTTTCGATTGTAATTATTGTTTTGTTTCAGACATTTTTCTCCTGCTCCAGAACAAATACCTTCACATTCCCCACCAGTTTCTCCCGTTCGTCAGGTTCGACAAGTGAAGAAAAAACGCAAGGTGTCTAGAGATTCTAGTTCATCATCTAGAGGATCTCCACCTGCTCAGAGAATGAAGGTAAAGAATATAATATTTGAAAGAATATTTTCTTTAATCATTTTATTTTTTTACATTTGGATTGAAATAAATCTTTATTCTAAGGGTTCTCTTACTATCTTTATCAGAGAACTCCCTAAGAAAAAAAAAAGGATGCTTTTTTAAAAACAAAGGCACCTTCAGTTTCGAAAGGTACTTTTCTTGCTAGATACAGTCCCAGGCCAAATTATTAGGCACACTATAAGATTCTATGTAAAACCTTAATTATCAGGTGATACTGCACAGCTTTATTGTTTTCAAGCGGCTGAAACCGGTTTGTATTTGTTTATGTTCGTGTATCAATTGGTTAATATTGTAATGCAATACGTAAAAAATAAATACAAATAGGAAGTATATAAAAAATCTCCTGAATAAAAACCCATTACATTAGGGGTGCACAACCTGCGGCCCTTCGACTACTGAAGTGCGGCCCGCAAGAGCTTCTAAACACAATAAAATTTTTTTTAAAAAAATGGCAATTTTTAATCGCACTTTTAAGTCATCACGTCTTGACACAATCAATTTTAACAGATTCTTTAGTAAATGTATGTTTAACGCGCTTTCTTGAAGCCGAATTTATCGTAAATATAAATGATTTTTTTTAAACAGTTATTTCCGCTTTTCTACGTGATTTTGAAAATTCCGAATTTTTATTACGACGCGAGTTTCAGATCGCAAATTTAAATAATCACTTTTTGTGCACTTTATTTGTGACGATTTCATCTTAAATCTAAGTGATTTTCTTTTTTTTTTTGCAATTCTTTCTTTTTCTTCAAAAATTTTTCTCGGCAGTTATTGCTATGCGTTCCTACGTATTATAAAAAATTCCAATTATTCTGTTACGACATGCAAATTTTAAATCATGCATTTGACGCGCTTTATTTGTGCTGAGTTCAGCATAAATATATTTTTTCCTAATTATTTCTATACTTTTCCTCGTGATTTTGACGATCCCGTTATTTAACTATGATGTTATTACGACACGTGATTGTTAATCGCGCAATTAAATAATCACTTTTTGATACGGTATTTCGGTACAGTTTTATCGTAAATCCTAGTTATTTTTCCTTCGTTTTTATTTCCGCAACGAATATGATTTGGTCGAATGTGGTAATGAATTGTGATTTGATCAAAAACCAAATATTCGGCAAAAAGAAGAAGAAAAAATCTATTGAACGCCGTTCACTTGGGGCCAAATAGCAAAATCTTTTAGCAGTATAGCAACACTGAAACTAAAATTTCAATGCTCAGAATAATATTTCCTGGAAAAACGTATTCATAAATTAACTCTAAAAAATAAGGCCAATCAAGAACGTTTTTGAAAATGTCGAAAAGCGAAACAGAGAACATAAAAATCAATCTTAATTTTTGAAAATTTTTTTTAAAGCTGAACATCTCAGTTTTTCAATTACCAGAAAAAGCCAAGAAAAAAGAATTAAGTCAACAGAAATGCTATTAAAAATTACTGCGTTATAATGAAAACGTCTAAAAAAAGTTTTTTTTTTATTTAAAGAAAATAAAAAGATAGAAAAAATGTTCTTAATTTTTTAAGTGAAAATCTTATGCCGAAAATCTCAATTTAAATTTTTCTCATTGCCATAATTTTAGAAGAAAAAAAATTGCTATAAAATAAATTTTATTTGTAACTTTATTTTTAAAAAAAATGCTGAGTCATAATAAAAATGCCTAAAAAAAGAAAAACAGAAAAAACAAATTTTTCTTAGTTCCTGAAACAAAACTTTAATACTGAAAATCACACTTTTCTATGTTACTGGTTATTTATATTACAGTACAGGGAAAGAGTGATAATAAATTAATAGTATGAGACGTTCTGTTAAAATGCTGGGTTATAATAAAAACTGCAAAAAATGAATCCTTCTCAATTCTCAAAGTATCGAAAAAATGACAAAATTGACTTGTCTGATTATAATTTTTAAAAAAAAAGTAATATCTATAAAAATTCAAAAATAAAAAAAACTTAGAAAAATACATTTCTAAAAAATATTCTGCCAAATATTTGACTGATCATTCAACCAACTGAATTTTTCACAGAAGGGCCAAATACTCGTTACATCCCTCCCTAATTTAAATGCAATGTTATTGCAACTTGAGAAATTCATAAAATGGCGGAAAACGTGAATTTTTAAACTGCTCACTGTTTGTAGTTTAGATTTCAATTTTTTGTTGCTTAAGTGATCTTTTTCGATAAAAAAAAGGAAAATGTTTACGATATAAAAAATCTAATAATTAATAAAATAAAATAATAAAGTACATTACAAAATAAGCATTGAATTTTATTTTGAACTATCACAGTTTTGTTTTTATTTTAGGCTTTTGTTTAAAACCTATAAATTTTCTTCAATTAAAATATTTAATTCGAATTTATAATACTTAAATATGACTAAACTTTTTCCTACTTTCATTCTGTGGGCATTGCATTTTTTTTTTATTTATTAGAATATAATTCTAAAATGAATTTTCGTATTGCATAATATGATAAAAAAAAACATTTCTTTTCTTCAATGTTTATTTATTTTGATAAATCTATTGTGCATATAATAAAAATAGCAAGTTTCTTTTTTGTAAAAAAAAAAAAAGTATAAGTTTTTTTATTTTTGAATGAATTCTAATTATGGAACACTACTAAGTTATTGATATTACTAAGTTTATTGATTAAAAAAATGGAACGCTAATGTTTAAATAAATATTACTTCATTTGTCATTAACATGTCTAAATACATGTGCGGCCCTTCGTTAGCCAACCTGCCGTGCAAATGGCCCTTCACTCAAAAAGGTTGTGCACCCCTACATTACATGTATGTTTAAGTATAAAAGTATTGCATACAAACTTGTGCAAAACATGTAATTATTTAAAAACTGCAGTGCTTCTAATAATTTGGTTTAATAATTATAATATACTAATATAATACCGGGTGTAATAAATATTCTATATTTATATAATATATCGTCTAATTGATCCTATCGTCAAATTTATATTATATATATCGTTTAATTTAATCAATTGATGCATGAAAGTAAACAAGTGCTAACTGGTTTCAGTCGCATAAAAACAATAAAGCTGTATAGTATCACCTGGTAATTAAGATTTTACATACAATCTTATAGTGTGTCAATAATTTGGCCAGGGACTGTATATTAATTATATATAGCTGGATTAGTACCCTTCAATAATTGAATTATGGCACCCCAACCTTGAAAGCCATTTGGCCGAAAGTATGACACTGCAACAACAGCATCCCACCCAGCACAAGACAAAGCAGTATAAACTTATTAACACATGGTCCCAAATTATACACGATAAGAAGTACCACAATCAACTTGCACAGCTCTTAACAGTGTGTAAAATAATTTGCACTGTGTGCAAAGTAAAAAAAAGAAATAGCACACGTGAATAATTTCAGATTTAATCCTCAGATTTTCCTGTACTATTGGTCAGTCTTGATAATTTGAGGTTTTCTGAATAATTAGAGCAAACAAGATTTAAAGTTACGAAATCAGACTCTAAGCCTACTTTCTTAGAATAAATATACATTTTTTCTGATAGATTTCGATCTTAGAACCTTAAATTACTGCAATCTGTAAAGGAATTTCCCGATAATCTAATTAGGAGAATGGTCAAAATTTTGCTTCCTTTTTTATTAATTTCACTTTTTGCTTACTTCATTGTGCCAAATTTGTAATTTTAGCAATTCAAACAATTTTTGCACACTATTATAAAATCCATTCATCCAAAATCAATTTTGCATTTTGTTAACATATATATAAAAAACTTTCAACAATATTAAGGAAGAAAAAAAATTACTAGTGTGCGTATCTTAATTATGGTATTTTTTTAAGTGCTTAAAATTTTTTTTTTTTCTGAGTGCTTAAAAGGTGCTTATTTTTTGTTGAAAAATTTGGCTACACACCCTGGATAAGGATTACATTAAGACAAACCTAACAGATAAAGGAAATCATATCCTCTGGCATTTTTGAAATTTCAGATATGTCACTTTTCTTTGAACCAATGGGATTCCTCTTCCTTTGACTAATTTCAGCCAAAAATTTATTAATAATTCTGAAGTTGCAGAAAATTTGATATATTGAACTACAGGAACATTCTTAAATTATTCATAAGTGTTTGAAGTGATCCAACCTGAATTTTTTGAACTCTTGAATAATGTTCTAAAATTAAAAAAAATAAAAAAATCTTGATTAGTTGAACCTTCTTAAAATGAAATTTTATTTGAGGGTATTGTGGAACACATACTATTTTTTAATGATTTTCATGAGATAAAAATCCAATCTTATTGATAATTTGTTTCAAACATATGAATTGATCTCTTTGTAAAGTTTATTTAAAATGATTTTAATTCAATTCAAATCTTATATATTTTTTAAATGATTAACTATAAGGTCATTAATAAATAATTTTTTAAAAGTCACACTTTATTTAAAATTATAAAGTTCTGATTATTTAATAATATACAAATTGCAGTTTTAAATAATGTTAAATCATTAAATTGAAAAAATTCAACTTTTATATTTATGCACATCAATTTGCACGAACTTTTTTGACTAAAAATTGCCATAATTATCAGAATAAAAAGACTAACTTTGTTTTAAGAATTTTTATTTAAAATAAAAATTTGAGAGAGTGCTTTACTTAGTATTTTAGAGTATTTCTGATTAAATGGTAATATCATGTAACCACCATTACCATTAATTTTACCTTGCATCGTGCATGTCAGTCAGTATAATTACATAGCCTTGGTACCCTTCTGGCATAACATTATTACTTTTATTTCACAGCATTAAAAATATTCCTCAAACTTTAGTGGTCCAGGGATGAGATTCTTCCTCGGATTTCCGCTTTTTTTCAGATTTTTCCATTTTTCCCACTAATTTCCGCTGAAAATTTTTTTTGCACAAGTTAAAATATTTTATGAGGAATTTAATTTTCCTTGGAGCGAAATCATTGAAGTCCTTATTCCTCTCTCTGAAGTTTCTCTAAAAATCATTTCCTTGGGATAAAACTGGTTGACTTTTACATAGGGATGAGATTTTTTTTCAGCCTTTTTATCGAAAACTCCGATTTTCTAAAAGTTTTTTTTTATTTTTATAAATATCCCACTTTTCTTTTAAAATTCAGTCGTTGAAGTAAAATAATTATATTTACGATTTTCAAAGATAAACAGAACATTCAAGCTATGTCCTAGCTGCTAACCCCTCAGCATTTTTACTTATATTAGCTATTTTCTCCGATTTCACGCGCAGAAAATAAGATTTTCCGTTTTTTTTATCTGTCTGCCGGATAGCTCGTATTTTTGTAATTCAGACGTCGCTGCTTCTTGTATACTGGTGTGAAAACAAACAAAAAAAGAGAAAAAAATAGAGGTGGATTTGCGGTGAAAATATTTATTTGCTCATTCAATTAATCTTGTAAATGTTTGTTTATTATGTCGAAACGAAAACAAGCCTTTTAGAAATCCCAAGTCCAGACTCAGCAAATATATAGATTTTTATTCATGCAATTTTAATATCAATCATCGATTTTCGTATTTACCCGATTTAAAAGTTGCACATTGTGATTCTTATTTACGCTATTTAAATATCGTACATTATGATTCTTATTTACGAGATTTAAAAATCCAATATTGTGTTTTGTATTTATGCATTTTTAAAATCTCGATTTTATTATCAAACATCGATTTTCGTATTTACCTGATTTAAAAGTTGAACGTTGCGATTCTTATTCAGGCGATTTAAATATTGTGCATTGCGATTCTTATTTACGAGATTTAAAAAACCAATATTGCGATTTGTATTTACGAGCTTTTAAAACCCTATGTAGCAATTCGTAGTCACGCGAGCTTAAAATCCAATGTCGTGATTCGTTTTTGCGGTTGTAATATCGCGCGATTTAAAAATTATGCATCATGATTGGTANTTAGACATGATTTTTTTAAAAAAAGAATCTTTTTCTGCATGAAATTTTCCACATAAGTGCAAAAAATATAAAATATCTGTTCTCATAAGAAAACACAAAGCAAATTACTGCGCCAGCGATAGAGACCGAAGTTGGCAAATTTCCAAAAATAGCTCAATAAAGGGGAAAAAAATTCTCCCCTTTTTATCCAGTAACTGTTTGTGTTGGAGATAAACGGAGAATTACGAGCGCTTTCTCCTTCCGCGGTACGCTAGAAAAAAAAATATTTAAAACAATTCTGTAAGAAAATTTTTTTGCAGAACCATTATTGCTTCTGCAGAAATTTTTTGTTTCTGAAGAAAATGTTTTTATTTTTTATTTTTTTGGTAAAACTGCTTCTGTTTCTGTAGAATCTTTTTTGAGAACTTTTGTTTGTGGCAAACCAAAAATTTTTATTTCCCAAATACAAATAATCTTTCTGCAAGAACTTAGTCGCTTTCTGCGACAATGTTGCTGTGTCGCCGTGTTTCTGCCACAGGGAAGTTATTTACATGTTTTATTAGCTTTAAATTCCCTTTTCCTTGCTTAAAATTTCCTTTACTTTGAACCTTAATATAATTTGAGTTTTATAATAATAGTAATGTTTTTTATTCTTTTCTCTATATATTTATAAATACATACTTATACAAATGTATATATTTTCAAAGTGGTAGTTTGTTTTCTTTAGCGGAAACTATAAAGTTTAAATAATTGCAAATCCCCCTTTTTTTTGTGTTTTAATTGCAAGCACTAAACGTAATGCAACTTGACCAATTGATATCACAGAATCTAATTGCCTACTTCTGATATTTAAATAAATAATATGGTCTTTGAAATAATATAGTTTTTTAAGGATTTATAAAATGTAATCTAGAATAATTTGTTTTGCAATAAAATATAAACTATATTTTTTATAATAAATATTATGAGTTAAAATATTTTATAAGTTCATTCTTTTTTAGATTTATCAGCAATTTTAAATTTGATGAACTGCATTCGTATGAAAAGTTGGGAATATTTTTATAGCTCAAAAAAGTTGATAAACGATGTAACAATTCTTTGACCAGAGCATTGAGTTATTGTTCAAAAGGATAAAAAAATCCAGCTATTCATAAAATTATATTTTACATATGAAGAATAATTCTTGTTTAAGCTAACAAAATCTAAAACGATAGTTTTTGTTTCATTGGTAATTGATTTTCATGTGCGCTGTGTATTATATATTCCTAGTTTTAGGCACTTAGTTTTCCTACAATTTATAAATCTAATGTTTTAACATTGCCTGTTTTTTTTTTCCTTCACAATGTTTATCATATCTAATACATTATTAATTTTCTTTTTAAAATTTAGTCTTTCTAAACAGAATTTTACTTGTTTATTATAATTTAGTTTTAAAATTTTCCCCAAAATATTATTTTTCAAGCTTGTTTATTAAAAAAACTTGCTTTAATTGATTAATCAGGTAAAGTATACATTTTTTGATACTTTCTCCGTTTAACAATTGTGTATCTGTCAGAAGAAACCTTGTAATGTACACTTTTCTAAACTACAGCTTGTTTCTGGCTCAGCCCATGCAGTTGCAACTTTTAGACTCTTAACAGTGCACAATTGTCTTCATGCCCGTTTTTTTTTTGTTTCTGTTTTGTTTAAGCATTGTTGACTCTTCTACATGTTCTCTTTGTGACTGACCAGGATATGGCTGCATTCCACTTGGATGAATGACCTGCACTCTCTTCTTGCTCTACTCAAGAAGAGAAATATAACATGTAGTCTAATGGCATGGTGGCCAAATGATCGGCATTTGGCAGGGCTCCCACAGGTCAGGGAATAATATCTTAACTCTGAAAAGCAGGGAATAGTCAGAAAAAGTTGCAATTTTTAGAAGAAAACCTGGAAAATTCCGATATCATACGTGGAAAATAGCCTATCTTGGAATTGTCAGTAACAGTAATCAGTTATCGAGATTCGAGTTAAATAGTTCTGACATCTATTGCAATTATTTTATGAAATTCCACTTTTTAGTGAAACTTTTCTATGTTAAACTTCTCATTCTATTATCTGTTTTTGCGCACAAAATCTAATTTTTTATATTACAAATTTTAAAAAATCAAAGTTTTCGTATGAAATATTGCATGGCATAGATAAAATATGGTTACGATTTCTTTGAAATTTTTCTAATATACCTGGAGAAGAGGGAATTTTTTTTCTGAAATTGAGTGATATGATGATAAAGACTCATTTTACTTAACCGAAAGCAATTGAATTTTATTTTAAAATGTTGAAATTTTGTCAGTTTAATTTCTCAAATTGTAACTCTGAAATTTTTTTCTATTCAGATAGGAGAAAGAGAAAAGAAAAAATCACGCCAACTAAAAGAAAAAGATAAGTCATCATCTCCAGAGAGGCCAACTAAAGAGCCAGAGATAGTCTCCGGATACAAACGTAGTTCCCAACCCCAGTCTGACAGATCATCTTCACCAATGGCAAATGCTAGTGACGAGGAACCAAGGAAGATAGAAAAGAAATTAAAAGATGTTGAGAAAGAGCACAAAGAGAAGAAAAGAAAGGCTAAAATGACTGAAAGCAGTGATGTATGTTTTTGATTATTAATATTTTTTTTGTGCAGTATAGCACATGAGGGGTGATTGTTTTCCGAGTGTACTTTGGAATTTTAGGATTTTCATATCATTCTTCCAGATCTAAAAAATAGAAACAGGTCATGTGATTTTTCGGTAAAAATTGCGAGTATCTCATCTGAAGACCATTGGTTAGCGGACTTCCACGATTCAAAAATATAATTCAACTAAATTTTGAAACTTTTGCTATAAACTGTTAGGAAGACATTTACATACACGTCATTCTTTTACCAATTTGATTCTTTTGATTTTCGTCATTTTGAATATTTGGAACTATGCCGGTCTGCTAATATCACGACTTTTTATTCGCGCAATTTTGATATCAAGCATTGATTTTTGTATTTATCCAATTAAAAAAATACCTGTTGCAATTCGTATTCACTCAATTTAAAAATTGTACATCGCTATTCCTTAGCTAGCTATTTGTATTTATGCGTTTTTGAAACCCAATGTCGCGATTCATCTTCATGCCAGTTTGAAATCCAATGCCGCGATTTGTATTCAGGCGTTTTTAAAATACGATATTATGATTCATATTCACTCATTTTTTAAATCCAAGGATGAGATTCGTATTCCCGCGCTTGTATCATCAAACATTGCTTTGCATATTTATATGAGATTTGATTTAAGAGCAGCTACGTATTGCAATTCGTATTCACGTGATCTAAAAAATGCAACATCGCAATTTGCATTTGCGTGTTTTTGAAGTCCAATATCTCGGTTTATATTGGACGCTATTTTAAAATCCAATATCGCAATTGATCTTCACATGATTTTAAAATCCAATGTCTCTATTCTTGTAAGAAGTAGTTTTTCTTGAAATAGTTACTACAAATGTGTGATATTCTTCATTAATGAGTAATTTAATTATAAATGTTAGTTATAGAAATTATGTTAAATATGAAACATATATGTTGGATAAAATTTTATTTTGATATCGATTTTTTGCACATGAAATTTTCAGGGATTTTCACTTTGTGTTTCAATCACCTCTGGCATGGTTTATATCTGAGTTAAATTTTCTATGTTTTATCAAAACTAGATATTATTTTCCATAATAGCAAACTGTACTTTACTATTCGTAGTTTTTTATGGTGGACACAGAGCAAAGTAAAGGTATTCCATTACTCTGGAAAAGTCAATAAATTTTATTCAAATTCACCAAAAATTCGGAGGAAGTGCTTATTTTTAGTTTACATAAGCTGCAACAGATCATTTCTTATGTTGGTCCGAGTTCAAATCTACCTGAGCCCGAGATATTCATTGGATGAAGTCCGAATTTCGAGGTCTTGAAACTCTGCATTTGTTGTCTAAATAAGGAACTTAGTCATTATACTTATTAAATGTCAACTATTTTTAAAGTTTATATTTTTGTTTATACTTATGTTAATACAAATTTTTCGTGAAACAATGTGTTTATTATGTTTTTTACTCCTACTCAGGCTCAAGACTCAGATGCTGAAGTTACTAAGAAGAAGAAGAAGAAACATAAAAAGCATAAGAAGCATAAAAAACACAAGAAGCACAAGAAGAATAAAAAGGAAGAGGAGGTAAATTGTTTCCAATCCATTCCTTGTTAACTTATTCTCTTTTATTATATACATTATTTGCAGCTCTTAATTTATTTTAAAATTTTCAGAAATTTTTATGTTTTAAAGTTTTTATCTGAAAATTTTAAAACTGGTGATTGATATAGTTAAAAAGAGAATGACTCCTCATAACTGTCCTAAAAAGAAAAGAGGCTATTTCAATTTTGCCAAACATGATAAATTGGGTTTAAAGCATTTTTGCAACCATAGGCAAAGCTAATTGCATTAGTTATTCCCTTTTCATATTTTTTGCTATGAAATGTGTGTTAAGTGTGTTTGAAAGGTAGGGGAGGGGGGTACATTTCAACATGGGGCACCTTTCAACAACTAGAATTTCTCCCTTCTAATATTGCTTAATGATTGGTGAATATGCCAGTCAATGAGCTTTAGTTATGCATAACTGTTAACATTTAGTTTTGAGCACTTGCTTTTTACCACTGTGGTGTTACTCTGTGGAACGAGTTTTAACATTCCAAAAGTAAAATGACAGTTTTGATTTTGAAACTGTTTTTCAACCATTTTTCTTTTAATAAGGTAATTGATAATTATTTTATTTGCTAGTTTATTCAATTCTGCTTCTAACTATATTATTTATTAGTAATAAATCTTTTTCTAAGGTGGTAGATAATACTTTAACCAAAATGTCTGTACCAGGGGCAGATTTCAACAGAGCTTAGGGGGCACATTTCAACAGCGTTGAAAGGTGCCCCGAGCTTATTATTATTATTATTTTTTTGTTAAGTAATCATGAAAATTGGCATTTTAGATCAACAACTTTTTTTATGGCTACATGAAGTCTAACCCATAAGTTTACAGAAGGCCTATTAATTATGATTGTTACATTTAAAATACTCAACTTTTTCGGTAAGGCATTATTCTAAACTTTTTGAAAAATATGTGACTTTGTTTAAGGAAGCATGTTTGTAATTATTTTTTCAATTGCATTTTTTTTTAAAGATTAAAATTAAGATTCACTTAGTTGCATTGTTGTTGAAAATAGAATTTATTAACAAGGAATTCTTTAGAAGAGTCAATAAAATAATTATTTTAAAATTTTATGAAAATATTAAGGAACATTTGTTTTTGTGCAAAAATAATTTAATTTTTTAGAGAATTGGAAAGTTCACGGTGGAACATTGTTTTAAATAAAATGTTCAATTCTGGCATTTTGAATACAAATGGTGCAAACATACAAAAAAAAGTACTAAACCAGAAGTCAGTAAAGAAAACTTTAAAAAAGCAATGGAAGCTGCCAGAAATGGTGCATCTCTAGGAGCAGCAGTGGACTTATTTAGAAGGAACTTTTCAGCTTTATCTCATACATTAAAAAATAGCAAGTCCAATAATTCTCTGCATGGATTTTGAGATAACTGATAATACAGTAATGGAGGTTAATAACTTTGCTCCTTTAGAGTTTTGTGGAAAGAAGAAAAAAGTTCTTTTTTGTAAGAAAAATTGAAGAGATATAAGAAGACAGCAATAAAGTAAATTTTATGAGAATGAAGGAAGATTCTGGAAAATTTCATTTTCCAGAAAAAGTGGATATTAGTAATTCAGAAAGAAATGACATTAAAAAGAAACTATCTCAATGAAATTTAAACGGTGGAACAGTTCGATCTGTATATTCCATGACATTCTCGGTAAACTTTGATTTATTTAAAGGCAAAATGATGTAGAAAAAAGTTAAGTAAATCCAATATGCTTGTTCATTATTTTTATTATTTTATGAATAAAATTAATTATCCAAAATGTATGATATTGCTACACTCACTTCGATTGTTGAAATGTGCCCCACCACCTGTTGAAAACTGCCCCACAGGAGGGGTAGATTTCAACAAAATGCATGGTTCACTAAATATGTAAAATTAGGTATTTTGTCTTTGACTTAGAACTTTGGAAAAAATTGAGAGGCTACCTCACATATAAATTTAGTAAATAATAATTAGAACTTAGATTTTTAAAGCAATAAAACTTTCCAAATAATTCTTTAGTAAAAAATGATGAAAGGTGCCCCCCTCTCCCCTAGGTTGTTTCTTTTTTATCGCAAAACAGAAAAATTAGAAATTAAAAAAAATTTGGCAAATAAGTAAGTACTGAGATAGCACACATTATTTGTAAGAATAGCAAATAGTTGCATTTCAGTTTAAATAATAAGATCAGGGGAAAAGTGTTAAAAAAAATGTGATGAGTGCGTAAGTTTTCCATAAGAAAAAAAAAGGCAAAAATTATCTCTTTTGATGATAGGATCATAGATTAGCATCCCATTTTTGTGGTCAAACTAGAGAGGTTTTGGTTTCTCTCAGTGTAATCTAAATTGAAAGCTTTCTTATTTCACTCAACAATTATAGTTCGTTCACCAGGAGTTGGCACTTGGCTTCGCCTTCATTGCGTGTTATCCGATGATACTATTTTTCGGAGAAGGATGTTAACAATCCTGAACAAGGTTACTATTTGGCGATCGTATGACAGAAATATTTATTTCACAATCTTTATGTGCATTTTTTAACATAAAATATTTCATAAATTTAATGATATTTACCTCTTTTGAGTGAATAGTTTGTCCTTTTTGAGACATTTTGCTGCAATATATTTAATTGACTAGAGTAACGAAAGGTATAATAGCAGATGATAAAACGAAGTAAGTGATTGAAAAATCATTTATAGTTGGCGTTTGGCACACATTAAGGGTTGCCTCAATTTGAAGCGCGATGTTTCTCCTCTTACTCCCTCTCTGAAATGAACTCTTCGTCCGAGGACGTGGAGCCACGTGCCAATTCCTGGTGAACGAGCTATACTCCTATTTTGTCATATTTGCCAAGTGTCCTGTTTTCAAATGAAAACTCCTGTATTTTGTCACTATGTCCTGTTTACTTGTATATTCTCAAATATCTCCGTATTTGTTGAAATAAAAAAAAATTAAAAAAATTATGATTAAGTATCGGCTGATGGCAAAAAAACTTATCTTATTCCTCAACAGGTAGTGCGATAGCCAGCACTGCAGTATGTTGAGTGTTAATAGTTTAAGTAATTATAAATAATGGTTTAAAAAACTCATTTTTAGATTAAGATTTATAAACATATTTTTTACTTCACTAAATGTAAGTGCTTATATTATTTCCTATTTTGAATTTCTCTTTTTGACTTACATGATTATGTATGATGTATCAAAACTTTACTCATGGTCTAAAAAGTGTCGCTAGTAAAATCCGTTATTTTATTTCTCCAGCGTTGGCAAGTATGCCTTGTTTTTTGATCAGAAGGTTGTTCCTTAATCAATTAAGCTTTTTACTAAATTTGGTTTCAGTAAAACACCTTTAAAAAAAGTTGTTGTACATATTTGTTTAATACAAGTGGATAGATATTTTTTTCCTGTAATTTACCACTTAAGCTTTAAAAAAGCACTTAAGTTTTGACTTCATATTTAGATTCTAAATTTTTAGTATATTATGGTATGGTATCTTGTGTAATAAAACAAATTCTGAGAATAAAACAGTGCTTCTGGAAAAAGAAACTTTCTTTTTAAAAGGACAATATCCAAAATAGATTTAGTTTTCCTCAAAGTTCCCCCTCTCCCCTCAAAAAAAAAGAAAAAGAAAAAATAACTACATTAATGTTTTATGTGTAATGGTAGTATAAAATACACATAATATACATTTTGATTTTTAATCAAATCAATCTGTTTAGCAACTTGGAACAAAGATAATACAATGCAATCACATGTTTTGAAGAGTAAAGTAATTTAAAAAGAATTTTAAGTATTGTAGTAATTTTAATTGTCATTTTTATGCAAATCATTTTTATGCATTTTTATGCAATATCAAAAATTAAGTATATTGCTAAAAATAAAATTATTTAAACATGCCAGTTTCAGGAAATGGTAAATACAACGGCAGACAACATTTTTGATTATCTATAAAATTAATTTTAAATTTCTATGAATATTTAATTTTAACTGAAGTAATGTGATGCAAAATTTTCACTCATAAATGTTTTTGAAATAATTGCATTAACAGTTTTGTGCATTAACAGTTGAATTTTTTAGTTATTTGTGTTACTATTTTATCTCTGCGGCGACTTAAAAATTGATAGAAAATTACAAGTAATCTTTTTTTTTTTTTTAAGGCTTCCGCATCAGAAGACGAAGTTGAACGTAAATTACGAGAGCGAGCCCTGTTATCTCTTTCAAAAGCTCAAGCTGCAGCAAGAGATGGCGACACAGATAAAGGGGGACACAGTTCATCATGAAATATGTAATCATTTCCATTGCCATACTTTCATTTAACGAAGAAAAGAAAAAATGAATTTTAGAAACCACATCTAAACTGTAAAACAAAATTTGGAAACTTAATGAACATTTGTTTCTCTAGTTATTTTGCTCTTTGAACTTTCTTTTCAGTATTTTGCTTCCATAATTTTTATTTAAGTTACTTTTTTTGTTTGTAAAATTTAGTTGCAATTAATAATTGTATATTTTAAGTTACAGTAAAGCAAATCATGCATTTCTTAATTGGTTTCTTTTTTGCTTTTAAAACTTTTTTTAGGAGAAATTTTTCTATTGATTCGTTAACATGTCTCTATCAGCTTTTTTGTTTAAAAAAAGTTATAAATGAAAAAATACAATGCAAAGAATGTATGTAATGTTCACAATTTTGATGAAATATGATATTTTAGGACAATGAAACAGGTCAAAATGTGAAAATGTTAAGAATACGATACAGTATATTATTTGTCACATTCATTAGTGTATTGAGGGGAAAAAAAGATAAATTAATATCTATCGTAAAACATTTTAACAAACAAATTTTTTTTCTTCCCTCCAATGCCCACCTGTGTTAACATCCGTCAATTCTGGCATTTATAGGGCGATTTTGTTGGCCTCTCTTTCAGGGGCACCATATTAGGTGGGCCAACGTCGCTCCCACAGTGAGGACAGATAGTACAGAGAAGGAAAGGACAGTTCCCTGCCCCAAACACACGCCGGTCGGCTTTTAACAAACATATTTACCCTAAACTATTACCCTATTTAGTATTTTTTTNTGCCAACGTCGCTCCCACAGTGAGGACAGATAGTACAGAGAAGGAAAGGACAGTTCCCTGTCCCAAGCACAGGCCGGTCGGCTTTTAACAAACATATTTACCCTAAACTATTACCCTATTTAGTTTTTTTTTTTTTTTTTTTTTTTTTTTTTTTTTTTTTTTTTTTTTTTTTGCAAATATCTTCTTCAAAAAAATTATATTTTTATTATCCTTAACCTTGCAGGCTTGTTTTTTTCTGAAAAAGAAATTTATTTTCAAAATAAAAGTAGTATTTTTTTTTAGAATTGTAATTAACAGACCTTGTTGTTGTCCAAAGAAAGGAATCAAGTTATTTTTTGGAATAATATACATATACCAGACTACTTTTGATAAAGAAAATTTTTTTAATACGAAAAATATATTTAAAAATTATTTTGTTACGAACAAAGTTTTTAGTATAATTTCATTAAAGGAGTACTGAACAGCTCATAATAATTTGAAATCAATAGACAGAAAATCTCAGCCTTTCTCCATTAAAAAACAAGCAAACATTTAGTTGATATTTCCTTATACCAATATTTAATTTAAATTTGTGATGGATTGTTTCGTAATTAAGGAATTTTAAATAGGGTTTTGATTATCTCAAAACAAAAACACTGAGTATTCTGCTTGGAATTTTTGTACAAAAGTAATAGATGATTCTTCCTTTCACATTTAAGAGTTACTGTTGTATAATTTGATACTAATCATTAAGCTCATCCGTATAAAAATTCTTGATTTCTCTAATTCCTTTCCTTGATTTCTCTAATTCCTTTCATATAAATTGAATTCCTAGAAGTGTGAGACAGTAAATATCTATGTGCATGTCTGAACATCATATCTATAAAAATTGATATCTGAATTATGCATGTGATTAAATTTGAACTAATGAATGTTTCAATACTTTACTAAAAATATTAATTAAAATAAAAATACTTAGGATCCTAAATCCAACATTTTTGAGTCTTTTAAATTGATAATTTTAAAATCAACATTTTTATTTGCTGAAAATGAGACGTTCTACCCCGCAAAAATTAAGAATATCTGGACCCATAAGAAAAAAGTTTTTTTTTTTATCAGGACAACTATAACCATAGTATTATTTTTTAAAAAATCTATATTTTTGCTTTAAAGAATTCTTTAGAGGATACAATGTTTACAGTAGTATTTAAAACATTAAAAGAAATATTGCCACTTAAGTACCTCCCCCCCCCCCCCAAAAAANTTTATTCTGTAATGTAAAGCTTTGTAAAAAAAAACTGTTTTGCGAAAAATGTAAGTAAGATGTATGTAAAGATGTCTTACGAGTAACTTCTCTGTCTTATTAAATTGATTTCAAGACTTCGCTTCTTTTGGAACTGATCAACGGTTACAAAAGTTAGACCATGACACTTACATTTAAATATAAATCAATTCATTTATTGGTTATCAATACAGGTGAGATGTTTTTTTGTGTGATATTGTGAGAGAAAGAAATAATGCTTTTTTATTGTTAGCAACTAAGCACTTTTTCCCCTCTATCAGTACCTTAATCTCTTAAAATTTTATAAAGCAACACAAAAACTTCTGTATTAAATTAATTTTAAGGCTTTAACTTGTTTATTACTTATCAACTGTTGGTAAATTTGTAAATATAAAGAATGACGTAATTTAGATTCACAAACTTCATAGAGATGTGACAAGCTGATGTCACCAAAGGTACATCTGCTTGTCACATCTCTACTTTCTCATAATTTGGTTGTCAAAAACAGTGAGCTGCTTTCCTGTGAAATTTTGTTAATGAATGGGAAAAAAATACCTAGTTGCCATTAACAACTTGAACATATAAGCAATCTGGTACATGCAACTCCTCACTTGGTTGTGCATAGCATGTTAACACTTGTGTTCATTATCATGCAGAAACAATTTTTGGATCAGGTTTATTGATTTGATTGGATACCTGCACGTGACGTCGCTTGCAAGTATCCAATTGACAGAGTGATGAAGATCAACTGATCTAGTTCAGCATAAGTTGGGGAGCTTTAATAAAGAAAAGTAGAATGATATTTACAAATATATGTATAAATTTATTTAAAAAAATATATGACAGCACTGTACATGAATAAAAAATGAAAACACAAACTCTGTTCAGATTTGAACTAATGAATTATACAGAGCTGCTACTTTACCAAAAGAAAATAAAAGATGGCAAAAATATTTCACATTTTAATAGATCAAGATTTTGTTAATTAAATGGAATCACTAATTTTAATCTTGTTCTTACGAATTTTTTAAAACTGGTTTTCTGAGTGATAAGTAGCTGTTCTGTATAAGTTTTTCATATTTGGACACAAAGAAATGGCAGTTCTTAAGAACTGGAGTTTCTGAACCTTCAACAGTTCACTTAGCATTTTAGCTTTCATCATTTCCTTCTGAAGAATCATGATTGAATTCCCAATATTGTTCACCTGCATCACCATTTTGGTCTTTCCAATTTATTTTAATTTTAGAGTGAGCTCCATCAGTGATGTGGTGCTTTTCTTGAATTTGTTCAGGTCCTCCTAGTCTGTAACCCATTTCAAAAAATTGTTCGTGTGGTGCAACCTTGTACCTGCGAAAAATATATAAGTGTTACTATGAATTTTTGTATACGGGTTCCGATTTAACGGGTCTTTCTTGATCCGATTCAACAGAATCCCTGAAGGAATTTGATGAATCCGATTTAACAGTCTTTAACTCATGTTTTTGTATCCTTTTCAAAGACAAAGTAAAAGAAGTTTGGACAGTAAGGGTCGTGAAATAATATTCAGTTGTACAACGATCAACAACACTATTAAAATGTCAACTAGCGAGCACTAAAAAATTTAAAGGCAATTATTAGAAGTGCTTAGTTTCTTCAAACTTACTTACTTTTATTCATTATATATTTTATTGCCCCCTTTACTAGCATAGTACGTAGCGTTTTTAAATAGTGCTTAAAGGTGCTTATTTTTTATTTTCGCTTTTAAAGGTGGTTTTTTATTGAGTGTTTTTGAAAAGTGCTTAATTTTCCCTTTTCGAAAATGAGAATTTTTTAAAAAAAAAGTCGATTTTCGCCATGTATTATGCAAAAGCGTGGTTTTCACATTGTTCTATTCAGCGTTTTCACAATTCACTCAAACACAATGCATTTCTGCCTACCATCGGTCCGTAGCATATGAAAGCGCCAATCATTTTACATGTTTGATGAAATACTTGCCGGTCCGGATCTAGATCTACTGAGCTGGGTTCAGTAAGATTCTTGCACTCTCATGATCAACTCTGCTGCATTTTGCAAGATATTCTCAATTCCAGGCTTCATTTTCCACCCTCAATCAATATAGTCAAGAAAAAGAGTTCTTTATCAGAAATTAGTTATTTTATTGTGATCATGTAAAGTTTGTTAATGTGTATATAGTGCTTAAAAGGTGCTTATTTTTTTGTTGAAAGATTTGGCTACCCACACTGAGTAGAGGAATTTAGCAGATTTTGATAGTATTTGTACTTCTTTTTTGTAAGCATTAATTGACAACCTATAATTTGTATATCCCTTTACTTCGACAAGGATTCTAAATTAATGAATTCAGGAAGTAGTCAAACTGGAAAATCATGCCTGTAAATTACTCCATATTATCTTAAATAATGACCAAATTGAGATATTGCAAAGGAAATAAATTAGTGTAAAAAACTTTTTTTTAATACTCAGTACCAAAAATAAATATGCTGAATTAGGTTAAGAAAGAACATCATTGTATTATTTCTATTGGAATAGTAAAAATTGACTTTTTTATTGTCAGATTACCAAAAGCCCATTTATTCTGTAATGTAAAGCTTTGTATATTTTGGATACAGTATAGTAAGAAAGTTAAGTATTGTGTGTGTATCAAGGCTCCTAAACAGTGAAATATTTGACCTAAATGTCAAATGAATGCCCTTTTTTTCACTTTCTAGTTATATCTTCTGCACATAGCTTTTAATAATTTAAATATGAATCTGTACAAAATTAGGTTTAATCCTAGTATACGTTGGATTTGGCGACATAAGTGTTGTTTGGGAGGGTGATAAAGTTTGTAGTTTTATGTTTTGGCGATATTTGTGGCTTAATCGTTTTTTTAATGCCTTTTTCATGTTACGTCTGTACTTGCCATGTTATACCTTCCCCAATTCTTAGCAACAATTGTAAAAACGTAATTTTGGCTTTGGCAAAAGTTTGGCAACCAACGTTGGCGACATATTTTGAAAAATCGCACCAAGCGTGTATAGAATTTTTCCCAAAATTATTAAGATACAAATTCCGCAGAGCTGACGTAAAATATCCTCAGTGGTTAGAGTCCTCTTACCGTGAGCTAACAGTAAAATATTTTTGTGATTTTTCTCTAAATGGTACACAAATGCTGGTTAGTTCCATCAAAAAGTCCTCTGCGAAGGCAAATTTCTTCCAATACTTGAACCAGGAATTCCCTTGTAATGATTTTTTTTCAAAGTTACGGAGTTGAACATTAGTAGTTGTAAACCCAAAATTGGGTCAACTTTTCTTCGACCGTTATAAAATAAAATTAATAATTGTATGCAAATTAAGAAAAACTTCTAGCCATTTCTGAAAAAAAAAAGTTTTAGAAAAATGTTTGATTTTGAAAAAAAAATATCTAACTTTGGTGTAAAACGTAGTATTATTCAAAATTCACTTGATAATTTTTAAAAATAAATGTAACATTTTAAGTCCAATCTTTTAAATTATTGGTGTGTATTGGTATTATACTAAAAAATTCCACTTTAAAAGTTATTTTTTTATTTGAAAATAAAGATATTTCTTCACCTGTTAGGAATTTGGAATGTAGCAATCGAAATACTAAATAAAAACTCAATATTGCATTGAAAAACTACAAATTAAAAAATGGTAAAAATATATTTGAGATATTGCTGGTTAGCTGAATATTGCCCTTGGCGAAATTGACAATATTTGTTTGGCGCCATTCCTGTTCGCTCGAAACACCCTGCATATTAGAATGGCGGTTAAAACAATGAAATTTTAATAAAACATCGGCCAAAACTTAATAAAATTGCAATGAACACAATATAACAAAATTAATAAACCCAATAAAATGCATTTTGAATCGAAACAAATATTAATGGACTATGAACAGAATAAAAAAGGAAAAGTGACCTCTGAAATTACATATAGTTGAACATTCAAAAATAAAGCTAAAATCTAAACCAATCGGAATCACGATTGGGTTTTCAAAAAAAAAAATATATATATATATATAGACGTTCCCATAAATAGAACAACATCGCCCAGCTTGGCAATCAACCGCGATCACAACTTGGCGAGAATCAAGGGGCACCCTCAAATATAGTCTACCCCTAACACATGGGTGCAAGTCTTTCGAAAATGTCCGCGGACGGAAACAAGACTGACTCGAAGACGGAAACCGGAATTTTTTTTTTTCTGTCCTTAAAAGTATTTTTAGGTCTACGTTATTGGTCTACTTTCTTATGTCCTGTTGTTATTTTATCAAAAGACAGATGAATAAATATTTTTTGTACAGTATTTAAACTTGATGTATTATGGTAAAGCTTTCTTAGACAGTTTGCATATGTCGAGGGGGTATTGCGTATGTTAGGTATTTCAGTCAAAAAGTTTTCAGTCTTGGCCTTTTTTTCCAACTTGCACCCATGCCCTAGCATACTTAATATCACCAAATTTTAACGCCAAAGAGTAGGAATTTATTTAGCAAATTTTAAAATTTTTCCCCGGATATAAAATTTAAAAAATTAGATTTTCAATACGTACATAAAAAAATTGCCTTGGTCATTTTCTTTGCTGTTCTCATCATCTTGGTTAGTTGTTGCTGCAACTCTTAAATCTTCCTTTCCTCTGTTACTTCGTTTTTGCTTATGTTTTTTTCTTGGAGATCTGCGTTGTTTTCTTTTAGATTTTTTCTGATCCTTTTCATTTTTTATGTTATAGGGTTTAGTGGGGTTAGTTTTAGTTCGTAAATCTGGTACTCTAGTTTGTACTGTTATAGGTGAAGAAGTCACATCTCTCGGTTTCGGTTGATTAGCACTAATATCATTAATTTCATTGGAATAATAATCTGTTGGGATCTTTTGAATTTCGTCTGAATAGGAGTTTCTTGGTTTATTGTTCTCAAAACTTGATAGAAGATGTTCATAAGTGATAAATTTAGGTTCATGCTGGTGCTCGTAGCTGTTATACTGAGTTTTAGGAGCTTTATACTCGTGCTGAATCTTTTCAGGAAGTAAATTCATTTTCGGATCCTGAACTTGATCATTTTGGATGATTTCTTGGCTACTTTCACGATAATTTAGAGATGGATAGCTGGATTGAGGTTTCTTTTGTTTATGTTCGTTGTCTCGAGTTGAGGTCTTGTGTTTCTCGGAGCACCAAGGTTTCTTGTTAGATGACTTGGATTTCCTATAGCCAGGATTATAATAGTAATCTGGGTAACGTGGTTGGTTGTGGTGTTCGTTGGAATTGTAATTAGTGTCTTCGTCCGATAGTAAAACGTAATTAGGTAAATTGAAATATCTGGAACGATATTCTTCATAGCTGCCTGGGTTATGTAGTGAGTAACTTTCCCCTGAAAATATATATGACCCATACTTATTTTGATCAAAATAATTGTAAGGAGGATTGTGATCATAACCTGGTTGCTTATTATCACTTTCATACGAATGAAGTTTATTATAGCCGTGGGTTTCATATTGTTGGCCATGCTCAGGTCTGTAGCCATTATAATTTGGTTGCTCTTGCTCATAGCTGCTATGACCATCGCTATAAGTATTTTGATTTAATTCCTTCCCCTCCTCATTGCTGTAGCTATCATAACCATATTGTACGGTGTTATGATCAGAATGTTTGTTTTTATAATCGTTATTTTGGTCTACGTTACGGTGCCCATTTTTGGGTTTAGTTTCTACTTCATAATGAGGCTCCTTTTTTAAAGGCTCTGGTGCTTGCTCTTTTGAAGTCACTGGTTCCAAGACTTTAGTGCTTTTATTGTTCTTAAATTTATTTTTTATGAAAGCTTCAGCTTGCTTTTCAATTTCTGCACGATAGTCATCATTTAGAAATTTACCATAATCGCTCTCTGTCGAGACTTCTTCTGAATGCGGGTTTCGGGGTTCGATTCCATAGAATATGTTTGAACCATACGGTAAGTGTTGCCTTTTTTCTATTTGTGTAACTGGTATAAGTTTTTTATTGTCCGCTATTACGTAATTCATACGGATGGATGATAATTTAGGATTTGTAATGAAAGACTTAGACTCTACTAAAGCTGGTTGCGGTTGCTCAGATGCTTGTGGATTGATTTTGATTACTCTCTGATATATCTCAGATGGTAATTTCCAGACACCTGGAACGAATGGGTGAAGATAATGTGAAAAATCTATAATAGATGGTGGAAGATTGTTAACTGCGCCTGGTACAGATAAAAAGAGTTCATCACTCCTCCTCTCGAGGCCTTTATTTGTCGGACGAAGTTCTTTTTTGTGATGAAGAGTTCTACTATTATGACTTACAGAAGAGTTCGTCAATTCTGTAGCATTAACTTCGTGAATTTTTTGTCCATTTTGCACACTTTCACTCAACGCTAATAATGAAAAGTACAATGCAGCTAGAGGCACCTGAAACTGAAAAAAAAAAAGTTTGGTCAGTGATTAATCAGTGTCTTAATATAGAATGAATGTAATCAGTAAAGAAATCAGTGTTTTAAATTAGAATGAATGTATTGCGTGAAGATTTTGTATATTATTAACGCATGCTGTCATTAATAAATAAAAGAAACTAAGCCGAGAATGAACTGGAGCTTGTGTCTGTCTTGACAAACTACAATCAACCAGATGACTTGTGGCCTAAGTCATATTTGGATTTGGAGAGAGGGGTACCATTTCTGGTGCAGTCCACGTCGTCTAACAAGGTTCAAATAATTACGTGTATTTTCACCATTTCTGTTAAAAGATAAGAGTCCTATAAAACAGGGATAGGTGAGTGATTAGGTGATTTGTTTATTTTAATTGCATTTTTCTATGCAATTTTTGATGCATTTCTTAATTGATGTTTAAGGAAAAAATATATTTATAAAGCTTATGATTCTAGAATAACGTGTGACGGATGAAAGGCACAAAGATTCAGTAGTGTTTGGCAATCCCGCCAGAGGGCGTCCCGCACTCTTTAAGTGCAACTATGAAAGCAAAGAATATACTATAATGTGAGAATAAACTTGGATGAAACTAAGAAGAGTTGATCCGGCTGCCGCTTGAGATCAGTTGGACTGTGTAGCTGACTGACCTCATTTTCCCATTATATTAAATTGATAATATTCTATAAATATAATTATAAAAATTGAATTTTTTTTTTCATTATATTAAATCGATAAAAAATAAATTCTAAAAATTTAGATTTTGCGAGAAATAGTTTTTAAATAAATGGGTTTTATAATATTTATAAAATGTGATTTGTCTTAACTTGTTTTGTCCATAGAATGCATCGAACCATATTAACATGCTACAGACACTTTTAGGAGAATTTTTTAAACGTTAAGATGATAGATACTTGCTGAATCCCGCTCTTAGGTTTGGCTTTTTATAACCCTGAACCACTTCTGTGCTAAATACTTAACGAAATATATGAGGCACACATACTTAACAAAACAGACGTTAAACTGAATCCCTCTCTTTGGTTTGGCTTTTTATTACCCTGAACCACTTCTGTGCTACATACTTAACGAAACATATGAGGCACACATACTTAACAAAACAGACGTTAAACTGAATCCGGGGTCTTTGGTTTGGCTTTGTATTACCCTGAACCACTCTGAGCTAAATACTTAACAAAACAGATCAGGTTCAAATTTTGTTGTGTGATTCCACCTGACAGGAAAACTTTTCTTACTTTTAATTTGGTATGTGTTCTATGAATTTAAAAGAGAAAAAAATGTATGTGGCTTTAAGTGTAAAGCATAAATTCTTTCCGTCAAGTTTTTAATAAGATTTAAAATGAAATAAAAATCTTTGATATTTCTATGTTGTCTAAAGATGATTTTCTCAAATTGACGAAAAAGTTATTATGCGTTCTTCCAGAATTAAAGCAGGAATGGCACACGAATATCAAAAAAGATACGGAGTTTTCAGACAAAGATGAAATAAAATAGGCTTTAATTAAAATAAAATGTCACAGAATAGAATTATTTTTAGATTTATTATTTTCTTTATGGGGGGGGGGAGGGACTAGTGAAAATGTTCATTAAAAACGTTTTTCAAATAGTGAAAACAAGAATACGAACATTAACAATGAAAAACAGCAGTTTGAGTTTTTAGATGATGACGTATAGTTATAGTTTGAGTTTTTAGATACATGAAGGCGAAGTAGTTTAAATAAAGTGGTACAAAATGATAAACTAAAAATAAGCTTCATCAATTTTTTTCTCTTAATGATAAATTTTAAAGTAATTGTCCTGGTTAAAAGTTTTTTGGCGAGAAAAAAGGGAAACTTTCTTGGACTGTTTAAGGAAGTAGAATTTGAAAGAAAACCCCATTTTTTCCCTTACATAAGTCTTGTACTTCTGCTTAAATTTTAAAATATTAAGAAGTTTTTAAATGTTTTCAACTCAGCTGTTCGGAAACGCCGTACAGCATGCAAAATGAAATAAGCAACTCAATAACTCTTAAATTAGTTAATGGATTTTCATATTCTTAGGTTGTTTAAGGAGGTATAAATTTACTACTCCTCTTTCAGATGTAATTTTAACGGCGAAATAATTTACTGGTGAGATGAAAATTTATAAAAATACGACGGAAATTCTTTACTCTGGAATTGCTTTTACCATTCCTTGCTTTTACGTTCAAAGTTTGGATCTTGTAATTTAAAATGACATAGTTCAAAATTTTTTCGTTTAAATTAAATTGATAAAAAATAAATAATTCTAAAAATTTATATTTTGCATGAAACTGTTTTTAAATGAACGAGTTTTATAATATTTATGAACAGAACTTTATTAATTCCTTTAAATATGGTTCTAGAGATATGGCGAAATACGAAAAAAGAGAGATTAATATTATAGGGGACAAACTTTCGACCGATATTAAAACAAAACTATTGGAACCATATTAAATAGGAGAAAGTACGTTTTTTATTTTGTAACTTAAAATTCGCACTAATTAATCAGCATGTTTAAAATTAGTTCTTCAATCCATTAAGATTGTACACTAGTGCATGGAAATTTGAATACTAGTGCAAAAGTTACACCACTGTTATTCCGTTTATTTTTTTTAAAAATTCTTCTTATTTTTTTTTTTTTTTTTCAAATTTATTTTTTGTACATTGTAAATTTGTTTTCATCGTTCTGCCTCTAGATCATAATCGAAATAAATACACTAGAAAAATATTTAATTATTGTAATAAATGTTTTTTCTTTTAATTTGCTTTATTTTTGTAACACTTTTAAACTGCGTTTTGAACCCGATATAATATTTTCTCGATATTAAATTAATATTTTTATTTTGCATTTTATTCGTTGATTAGGCTGCTAGTTTAATTATCCAATCAGATTAAAGATTTGATTTGAGGTTTATGCGAACCATAACAAGCTAAATTCAACTTTTATTTATTTATTGGTGCACATACATAGTTGTCCTATGGTGGGCCACATTCACACTTTACACCACAGAGAGAAGCATCCATGCCCTGAGCTGGTTTCGAACCCACAAGTATTGGTTTCGCTGTCAGGCACGCTGACTGCTTGGCTAGCTGGCCGGCCAATAAATTAGAAATTATTCTACGCTTTGACGAGCCTTTTATCAATTCAAGTATGGAACAATTCTAATAGCTCTGTGTCGATTCTTAAAAAAAAATTTACTAAAAATGTTGGGATTCATATCTGGCAGCATGTAATCCTTCTATTTTTGTTGTTGTTATTTTTGTTTGATATCTGCTCGAGCACAAGCTTATGAAGTTAAGAAATAAAGACCTAATAAGGGAAAAATAAATTTTCTACAATAATGGATAAATAATCAATATTTACGGCTGAAACAAAAATTTAAAAAAAAAGAACTCACATTTGCAACAACTTTCGAACAAATTGGAATTTTGGAACAATATTTGCGTTAAGTTGTCACAAAGAAATGATTGTTTTCGCACATCATATTTTAACTCAGTGGTCACCGGACTAAAAATCAACCAAAAATTATATTTCCCCCCAACAGGAATAACAGCTAAAATTCGTGAACTGACTGTCGAATCTTAAATTTTTCTGTTCTGTCGTATTCCCTGTACTTTTTTCAACATTATTTCGTATTTTCAAGTTTCTGAGTATTATAGATTTTGTGCAGCGAAGCAAAATGTATTCTAATGGGAAAAAAAGAAGATAAACGATTTACAAAAGAAAAGCAATTAAAATTCCAATAATTTGCGATTTTGTTTAAAAAAGACCCCACTTTTTTAAGTTCATAAACAGATATGGCACTTTCAGCACACCAAACTTCAACTATGAAGTTACATTCCTGCGGGCTTCCCGTATGGTATTTTTCCTACAAGTTTAATAGCTAATAATTATCGAATATTAATTTTTTATTATTTCATTCTACTCTCTGTGCATTTTTCTATACATCTTCGGAATTTCAAGTTTCTAAAGTCTTACAGTTTTTGCAAAGCGAAACAAAATGGAAAGTTAAGTTGAACACCCAAAACAGTGGCGTTGGAGGCCGCAGAGATGACACTGAAGTTACTACAACAATTTTCGGAGCATGCATTTAAGAATTATTGCGTTTTTGCTCGTTGAGGATATTCGTGGTACCAATCTTTTGTCATAATGTTGCATTGATTGAGCAGAGAAAAATAGACAAAAATTGAATTCAAAATTTGGTTTTTGGGATGGCATTCTGACAAAGATCTTAGATTCTTTATTATTGCAATAACAGAGTTCTCCGTGGGAATAAAAAAGGGTGCTTCTTCACAGAAAAGAGCAGTTTAAGTTTTGAAAGGTCAGTTATTTAGCACCGTTGAAATTTATCAAAATGTGTAATATTATGTAATAACTGAATTTGATCCACAACAATTTTTAAATTACCCTCTTATATTATTTTATGTGCTTATTTCAAAAAGTATTTCTCACTCATTATCAAAATAACAGAAAAATTTGAAGCTTTTGAAAGACAATCTCTTAGCATAAATTTTATTTAAAAAAAAGTAATCTAAAGAAGAAAAAAAAAAGGATTACTTGATAAACAGTTAACTTTAGAGCATTTTTTGTATTTTAAACGGAAAATTTTGAGAAAATAAACATCTAAAGGTGCATTTTTTAAAAAAATTTTACAATTTAAAATTACTAAAAAATTCATTCATATCCCAAAATATGTGTAAAAGATGTGAATATTTCTGGGGGCCAAATATGCGGATTTTAACTACATAACTAGACAACAAAGAAAAAAAATTTATCAAAATACAGGAATCAAATTAAATAATTATCAGTCACTAAATAAATCAGAAGAGGACTTGGGTGGTTAAGAAAGCAACCTTTTCCTGAAAAAATAAAATAAAAAGGCAGTATTTTATGGGCTGGCGGCTTATTTTTACAAAAAAGGGTAAGATAATACGCATTTAAAGGAAAAATAAAGGGCAAACGGGGCCTGTTGCCCTTCCAAAAACGCTTTGGGAGAACACTGCAATAAAACACCTCTAAAATATATTCTCCACATGTTGAAAACATTTACCAATACTATTTATGATCAAGAACCTGCCATAAATCAACTCACCTTAACTAAAAGACGCATCTTAAATCCAAAAAATGTTTTAAGTCCATAAATTAGTTGCACTGCATAAAAGTTATCATTACCACTCAGACATATTCACTTTCAACCGAAAGGCATCTATCCTGAGAAAATAAAGTAAATTCATTAAGTACTAAACATTTCATCAATTGGACACGGTACATCGCACACAAACCGCTCCTTCCTTCCAGTGATAGTCAGAGAATCTTTTATTCTATTTTCTGAAATTTGCATCGTTCCGTGACAGAAAACAATTTTTTTTCTTTCGTTTCGATTTCTGTATTTTTGTCCAAATGTCCGTCGGTTGAGTGGGTTAATTGTTTGGAGGCGTTCACCATAAACGCAAGTTGAAGCGAGGAAGTATCAATTTGGCAATGTTTGGAATTTCGTAGCAGGAAAGATAGATGTTGTTGCCATTTTTAGTTACATTGTACTTTTTTTGTTGTTGCAAGAAGTTTATTTTTGAAACCATTTTAATAGTTATAAAATAAAAGGGTTAGTTAGCTTGGAAACATCAGTAATTGTCGATGTTCCTAAGTTTGATGGGAGTTTCAAGCAAGTACCCACCGTACAATAGGTACCGTACTGTGAGTGCAAGAAGAAGTTCACAAAAAGTTTATTTTTGAAATCATAATCATTTTAATTATAAAATAAAAGGGTTAGTTAGTTTGGATACACCAGTGCTGTCGATATTTTTAAGTTAGACATGGGTATCATGCAAGTACTCACCGTACAATAAGTACCTTACGATGAGTGCAAGAAGAAGTTTACAAGAAGCTTGTGGAATCATTTTAATACAGTTGTAAAATAAAACTGTTAGTTAATTTGGAAACATCAGCGAATGTCGATATTTTTAAGTTAGATATGAATTTCCAGCGAGTACTCACCGTACAATAAGTACGCAAGAAGAAGTTTATTTTTGAAATCATTTTAATTATAAAATTAAAAAAAAGGGTTAGATAAAACATCAGAGACTGTCGGTGTTTTTAAGTTAGATATGAGTTTTAAGCAAGTACTCACCGTACAATAAGTACGCAATAAGAAGTTTATTTTTGCAATCATTTTAATTATAAAATAAAAGGGTTAGTTAATTTGGATACACCAGTGCTGTCGATATTTTTAAGTTAGACATGGGTTTCAAGTAAGAACTCACCATACAATAAGTACCTTACGATGAGTGCAAGAAGAAGTTTACGAGAAGTTTGTGGAATCATTTTAATACAGTTGTAAAATATAATTGTTTGTTAATTTGGAAACATCAGCGAATGTCGTTGTTCTTAAGTTAGATATGAGTTAAAAGCAAGTACTCACCGTACAATGAGTTCCGTACGGGGAGTGCGCATGATGAGTAACGTACGGTAAGTACCTTAAGTTTACTATCGATTCCCTGTACTTTCACTAACGATTAGTTGTAAAAATGACTTGCATATGTCATTATTGCTATAACTGCTTAGGTTGCCATTTTATATATAAGGGTCATATTGTCGTTTTCATAATGAAAAGTGACAATAGGGAGATTTCGTACTTTTACGATATCTACCGTACGCTCTCGTACCCAAAATTTGAAGCAACTGCGCATACTCACGTTTGTTTTAGAATAGATACTACGTATCTTAAGGTTATGTTGGCCGGGTTAACGTCGCAAAGACAAAGCTACAAACACATAATTAATAGCTGTTAAATGTTGTTTTACAACAGTTGGTTGTTAATAACAAAATTAATTTTACTGGTTTAGTTTAAAACTATATAATTTTATAATTACATAATTTTGAATATATAATATATTTTATATGCTTAAAATTATATAATTATAAAACTATCTAATGACACTAGATCCATAAGAAACTAAAATTATTTAAAATTATAGAACAGATTTATTTTAATAGTGCAATTTAGTTTGAAGAAGTTTAACTTTCATGATATCCATGTCCCATGTCCATGCTTGTTTTGATTTTGTAGTCGATGTTAAAATGATATTCCGTAACGTTAACGGTTTTTAACTTACAAGTTTTTGCCAAATCTCTTATTTTCATTTGATGTTTTTTCACGGGCGAATGAACAATTAACCAGTGCACACGCACAATTACTTCAAATGCTACGTATGGGAGAGTACTAATAAGCTAACGTAAATTTGGGAAATCTTCCTATATATCACTTTTTAAAGTTCGGCAAAAGTGGCGTACAGGAGTGCGCAGAATGTTGCAGAACGTTTCGGGCAAACTCTTCGATTAAAGATTTCAGAAGAAAAGTAGCTTGCAATAATGTAACCAATGGAATGAAGCAAGCTAGTTTAATTAGAAAGAAGTAGAAAATGGAACGAAATTCATAAAAATCTAAATTCATATTTTAAATTAATTTTTATTAGATGTTTGCTGGAATGATATATTATGGTAAATTTTTTTTATTATTTCCAACAAAATTTTCTTATTTTATATAGATGTAAAAAATATTTAAATTTTAACGATTTTAAACTTCATAATCAAGTTCTTTGAAATTAGAAAGAAAGAAAACTAATTAAAAATATAAGTTAAAAAGAAAAAAATGGAGCGATAATGGATTCATTCATAAAAATCAATAATTTATATTTTAAATTCCTTTCTATTAAGATATTTGCTGAAATGATACATTATGGTAACAAATTTTTGTTTTATTATTTCTGACAAAATATTCTAAATATAGTTAGATTTAAAAAGTATTAAAAACTTTGATGATTTTAAACTTCTGAATCAAATTCGTTTGTTAAACATAATTTTTCTACAGAAAATACTTTGCAAAATTCGATCTTAGCACTTCACCCCGATTTTAGAAATGAATTAAAAATGTTCCCTCTTCCAATGAAGAAACAAACTAATGTTTTTTTTTTCTATAATTTTTTTTTTTTTGAGCACTAGCTATTCAGTATATACTATGACTGGACGTTCGTAACGTTCTCGATCTAGTTTACAGATATATAAATCGTCGGTTGAGGAGCTTTTTTACTAGATAATATGATCGAACAGACCCTGTTAGTTATGCTGTATCGAAAAAGTGAAATAAGTAGTGTTTAGTAAATAAAAATTCAGTTTCGTAATAAAAATAATACTGAGGTTGTTGCCCCCCCCCTTTGCACGCTACAGTTAGGCAAACATATCAGTAAATGAGCACAAGTAATCAATTACTTGAAATCTTTATTACCAGTAATCGCAGTGTTACTATTGTCGTGATCACATTGCAAGTATAAACTCTAAGCATAAATGGCTAAGTTTAAGTATGAACTCACCTAATCATAAGCCATGATAATAACTCTATTTGATATTACTTGTTATTGCTTCATAAAAGGTGTTAAAAAAATGTAAAACATTATTGCAACATCTCGTTGTAGGCCTGAGTGACCAAGTAAATTTAGGCTCCACAATTTCATAACCAATGGCATGATCAGCACTGCTCACCAGTTGTCTTTTCATACAAGCTGGGTGAGTTTCAATCCGACACTGAGGATCGAGCCCTAGTTCTTTAAAATGCCTTTAACCATATATAAGATATCTAAGTATGTACTATTTAACTTTGCTGTATTGCTAAGAGCTATTCGTCCCGGACTTATAAAAGCTTATAAATAGTGACTCTTTGAAGGTCATTGTAAGGCTGTGTAATATTTACCTAAAAATAATATTCTTTTGTATAAACTTTAATGTTTTCTAAAATTCTACGAAGGCAGTGTTAGGTTCAAAATTGTATTTTCTAATTTCACTACAAATTTATTTTACAAGAGCATTTGATTGAAATGATAAGATTTAATTTTATTTTTAATTAAACATGATATAATTAGTGTCTGAAAATCAGTCATAAGACTTGATATCTAGATCACAGATCGTAATGCGTTGTACAGTGGTATGAACTAAAAAAAAAAAAGACCAAAAAAAGAAAATAAAAATGCTATGTATAAATTTTTTTTCGTGATGTTGATCATAATTACTTTTTTATGTCCGTAGAACAAAGTCATCACAAAGATAAAGAATCTTATTAGTTTTTTTCTGTTTAAATAATTGGATAAACTTATACTTTTTTTTTAACATCGCGAAATGAGAAGAAAAATAAAAGCACTTTTGGAAATATTAGCAACAAAACTAATTTTTGTCATTTTTTTTAACTTGTTAAAATAGTGTCTCGAATTAATGCAAATGTGTACAAATAAAAGACAAAAATAGTATTTCACTTTCCTATGTAGATTGAAAATTTACATTTCGATTCCTGATTTTTTAGAAACGTTGTTGAATTCAAAAATTGCATTTTCTTAATTTTGCATAATATTTCTTGTATAACGTTCATACAATGAAAACCAATTAGCTGTGTATATTTCTGCCAAAATTGAAGCGTAAAAATAAAAAATGAAATACATTAAAAATATAATAAAAAATGAAATATAAAAATATTAAACATTCAAATTTATATAAAAATTAACCTCCAGAGGGCGCGCAGTTACCCAAATTGAAAAGCAACTCCATAAAAGTAAAAATAAAAGAAAAAGTTTTCAAAAATGTCCATAGAACGATGAAATCACAATTTTCGTTTTTAAAGCGGAAACTGAAGGTAAAAGCAGACGTTAATTTTTTTAAAATTTTAACAACACAATTCATTTTTGACAACAATTGTTTTTTACCTGGTTAAAATATTGTGTTTAACGAATGCAAATATATAAGTAGAATACATAAAAAGTGCATTTTACTTGCTGTTATAGATTTTTCGAAAGCATTCAATTTCAGATTACTTTCGAAACTTTTTTGATTTCAAAAATGTTGGTCGCCTTTGAGAGCTATAATATTGCATTTCTCTAGTAAGGAAAGGTAAATACAATAAAAACAAATTAATTAACTGAGCATTTTTGTGTCAAAAAATATTAAAAACGAAAATTTAAATGTATACTTTGTGCGTTAGACTCGAGTATTTCAAATGTGTCAGTAAATGTTGCATGTATTCTAAAATAGAAGCGTAACAGGCTAATTGCTAGTTCAATCAATATTGAAGGTGATAGAAAGCAATAACTCTGAAAGTTAATAAGAAAAAAAAATTATACAAAAATACAATAATTGTATTTTATGCGTGCAATGTTTTTCAACATTTTGCAACGTTTTTGTAACTGGGCAACACTTTTCTGACCCAAAAACTGTTTAATAGTTTTAAAAAAGAACAATCTTTGCAATCGGAATAATTCTACTAATAATAATTAATAATAATAAGTAATAATAATAATTAATAATAATAATAAATAATAATAATTAATAATAATAATAATTAATAATAATAATAATAAATAATAATAATAAATAATAATAA